GACCCTATCTACTCGGACCCCATGCAGGAGGCCTCGTGACGTTCCCACACCAAACACCAAGGGACGTCCTGGGGTCTCCGGGTTGGGCTTCTTGTGGGAGGTTTCGTGTGGACTGGCCTCCCCTGCGCTGGGAGTCGACGTTCTTTGCATGGAGGCCCGAGGCTGCTTCCGGACGTTCGGGGGGTGGCTTTGGAAGGCTCTGTTGGGTGCTCTTCGGGGCCCACCTCCTCGAGGCAGTGGCGCTTCGTCGAGGAAGTACCCCCCCACACAGTGGTGACCCCATCCCGGCATTACCTGTGGTAACAAATCATGGGAGCCTTGGGTACCTTGGCAATTCCGTTTGTCTTTAGCGTCGATTCGCATCTGGGAGTTGATGAGATATCGCCTTTTTAGCGTCGGCTAGCTTCGATTAGGGTCGACTCAGCGTCGATTAGCGTCGAGTTAGCGTCGACTAGCGTCGATTCGCAAGAGCCGACAAGATGGTACTGGAGGCTCCCATGAGTTGCCACCGGACATTGCCCCAGGTCTCGGCGCTGCTGAGGCGCCTGAGCCAGAAGTACTTGCACGGCCTCGTGTGGGTGGAGGATCGAGCGGCTCGAGAGTCAGAGGAGAAACATATGCCGATGCCACTTCTCGTCACGAAGAGCCCTCGCCACCACGCCTGCATTTTCATAGAGGAATTCGTGCCAGAACGCCTCCTGTGAGAGGCCCAGGGCGAACTGCCCAACCTGGAAGGGGACCGTGCACACTTTTGGTGGGGATGGGCCAGCACTTCAGGAGCGACCAGAAAGACAGACGCACACAGGACGTTTCCCTCCTCCTCCTCTTCCTCCTCCTCTTCCTCCTCCTTCTTCTTTTCCTCCTCCTTCTCCTCCTCCTCCTCCTCCTCGTCCTCCCCCTCCTCCTCATCCTCCTCCTTCTCCTCATCCTCGTCCTCCCCCTCCTCCTACCTCTCCTCCTGCTTCTCCTCCTCCTCCTCCTTCTCCTCCTTCTCCTCCTTTCGGGAGAGCGCGTGGCGCGAGCTCTCGTGTGCTTTGACGAACGGCGGCCTCGTGAACCGGCGGCATCTCAGCGTGCGTGGCTTGGCGCGACGTAGTTGCTGGACCCCCTAGGGGAGGTCCCCTGGGGAGGGCGGGGGTAAATTTCGACCCCCCATCGCCCCAAAATGTTCGTGTGCAAATCCTGGGAGGTCAAGGCCTGACTTTGCCCTGGTCCGAAATCCAGCTGAATCCGGCTTAATCCCGCCAAATCTGGCTTGATCCGGCTTGCTCCCGTTTAATCCGGCTTAATCCCGCTTGATTCCCGGGCCCATTCCAGCGCGACAGCCCCCCGATGGGGCTGATCCTCCTTACTCCTTCCGACGAGGACCTCCCAGCAGTTGCCTTCTAACAAGTATCCCCGATCTGGGCTGGGGTGTCCCACCCTTCCCCGGCGCAGTGCGGCTCCGCTGCCGGAGGACCGTCTGCGGATCGTTCGGCAAGTCGGGAGCTCCCCAATCGGTGTGGTGACCACTCCTTACCAGCCTCGAACGTATCCCTATCCCTAAGATTGACACGCCAAAAGGCAATGACAATCTTAGGGATTCGCCGTCAAAAAATAAGGGAATCCCTAAGACTGGCATCGTGATGAGGAGGTGCCCAGCATAGGGATAGGGATATGTTCCAGGCTGGTAAACTCCGCGTGGTGAGCTGGTGGGGTGGGGATTCGGGGTCACCGCGCGGTTTGGGGCACCCGAGCCGTTCCCCGAGCACGTCTCGAGCGGCGGGGCCCTCCCGAGGTCCCAAACTCGTGCGGCGATGAGAGCAAGTCATGTCTGGGTCCGCCTCGCTGCCGACCGAGAAAAAACGTGGGCGCGGGCGGGATCGGCTGCGCCTGAGAGAGGAGGAGGAGGAGGAGGAGGAGGAGGAGGAGGAGGAGGAGGAGGAGGTTGAGGAGGAGGAGGAGGAGGAGGAGGGAGGAGGGAGGGGAGGGCGGGGGGAGGAGGAGGAGGAGGAGGAGGAGGAGGAGGAGGAGGAGGAGGAGGAGCAGGAGGAAGAATAACACAGCTAGCAGGCGCCAACATGCAGGAGGAGAGGGAGGACGGCAAAGGCAGCAAGGCAGCAGGGGCGGGCGGGGGGCGGAGGGGGCGAGTGGCGTCGGTGGAAGTCGTGGTCCGTCGCCCCACGGTCCGTCGCCCCACGGTTTTTCTTTGGCGCCCCGGCGCGAGGTGCTGCCGGCTCCTCGTCGGTGTCCCGCCCCCGAGGCAGTGCACCCCCCCCGTCCTCCCCCCCTCGAATTGCCTTCTGCGGGAGGCTTCTGCTCCACCGCGGGACACTCGCGGACGCCGCGTTCAGTCGGGCGTGTCCCTGTCTACGGGAGGAATGTTCAAAGGGAGTCTTCAAAACAAGTTGTGGGACGATTTTCTACTATTTCAGATTGCGTCTTTTTCGATATCTTCCAATGTGTGCCCCACCTCTGCCTGTAGAAGGGCATGCCCGACCTAACCCTGAGGCAGTACCCCCCGCTCTCCCCCCTCAAACTGGTGCGTGCAGGAGGTTCAGGAGGGAAAGAAACACACAGACACAATTAATCCTCCACTCCCAGGAAAGTATGGGAAATGATGGGAAGTGGGGGGGAAGACAGAAACCCAGAAAAGATTGGAAAATATCTGGTTGTTTTTTTTGTTTTATCTGTGTGTATTTCTTTGTGTGTCCCAGGGCCCCTTCAGAGGTTTCCGCTCCACTGCCGGGCCCTCACGGACGCAGCGGCCGCCGCCGGGCACTTCGGGGCGCCCCGAACATCTGCGAGCTGCGGGCGCCCCGGCCTCCCAAATCACCCTCGCGAGCGAGCGTTGCTGATCACCCTGGCGCGCCACTTGCACAAAGGCCGCGGGTGGTCGAGCTCCGAGGCACCGTAGCCGCTCCCAGACATGTGTCTGTAGCTTTTCTTTTGCCGATGCGCCGTCCAGGCGCGGCTCTTGAGTGAGTGAGTGAGGCCTCCCAGAATCACACGGGGGCCCAGCGGATGGGGCCCGAAGATCGCGCCGCATCGCCGATGCATCGGCGAGGCGGCTCGATGTCGAGCCTGTATTTCTCCACGCCGACGGTTCCGCTGGATCGCCGACGTATCGCCGTATCGCCGATGTAGATCACTCCGTGTCCTTTACCGAATATGAGAGAATATGAGATGCACATCAACTTTCGGGATGTCGCGTGAGTTTCTTGGGTCGGCGCTGGACCCCCCTGGCGGCGCTTCGGGCGCCGCCCCTAGCGCGCGCTGAGGGGGGCCAAGTGCTGATCAAAGAAGTCTTACTGCACCTCAGGACACTTGACTTACGTTGATTAGTTGTTCTACCCGCCTCTGCTAGCCTGGTCTCTCTCTCTCTCTCTCTCGGCGCTAGGCACTGACGGTTTTGTTTTGGTGTTTCTCAGGAGTCTACGGTCGGGAACTCTTGGATCGAGCGTCGTTCCGCTGGTTCTGGCGCACCACGCTCCGGCGCTTCACGCCATCCACTTCGCGGTCCCCAGGCTTCCACGCGTTCGGGTGCAAGTCTTGGGAGGTCAAATTCAGATTTAGCCCTGCTCCGAAATCTGGCTGAATCCGGCTGAATCCTGCTTAATTCCGTTTAATACCGTTCAATCGTTTTAATCCCGCTTACTCTGCGGCCCACTCCGACGTAACAGCCCCCCAATGGGGCTGAATCCTCCTTAATCTTGCCGACGAGGACCTCCCTGTCGTTGCCGCCTAGCACGTGCTGAGCTTTTCCCAGCCTCCCGCCCGGCGCAGCGGAGCGACACGCTGTCTGCTTGGAGGGCACAGCGTGTCGCTGGGGCCGCCGCCGCGGCACGCTGGGCGAAAAAGTTCTGGACGGCAGTGCGTCCTCGGTTGTTGCCGTCCACACGCGCAGCGTGCCTCGCCCGCCCGCCGTGCGCATCGAGCATCGGGCATTCCTCTTGCGAGCTGACCCTCCCCCTCCTCCTCCCCCTCCTCCTCCCCCTCCTCCTCCTCCTCCTCCTCCTCCTCCTCCTCCTCCTCCTCCCCCTCCTCCTCCCTCTTCTCTTACCCCTCCTCGTGCCCCTCCTCCTTCTTCTCTTCCTCCTCCTCCTCCTCCTCCTCCTCATCATCATCATCCGGGTACTGCGCTCGGGAGGGGCTCCCCCAGACGGGGGTCCACTGCCACGCCAACCCGTTCGCGCGCCCGTGGGCCCAGGCGGTCTGGTTTTGTCTGCGGCGGGTGGCGTCGCGGGGCCGACGGGGGCCGACGCCGCGCGGCAGTGTTTGTCCGCGGCAGGGGCTCCTGATATTCCAGCCTATTTTGGCATTATGTCGGGCCTGCCCCCCTACAGGGGGATTTTCAACGAAAAATCATAAATACTGCCAAAATAATCCCAAAATAGTCCAAAAAATAGCATGGGTTTTTTTGTTTGAGTATGCTTTGACCTTTTTTTTTTTTCGTGAACAATCCCCCTGTATGGGGGACACGCCCGACATAACTCCAGCATTGACCACCAGACAAGCACCAAGAGAGTATCGAAACCGGAGGTCTTTCACGCGTCGTGCCCTGGGAGGCGATGCTCGTTCGACACCGTATCGATGCTTTTTTTCTGGGTGCTCGGCCTTTTTTTTGGAATGTGGTCCTGAAGTGTTACGGGAACAACATGAGACAGGGGGCGACGGGGCGATCTGGGGCTGTCGGCGGGGTTGGTTGGCCGCCCCCCCCCCCCGCACGTTGATTGCTCAACTAGGGGATCGCCCGCAAAATCGATGCACCCCGAGATTTTGAGTTGCCCGCCCGGTCTGCGAAAAACACAAAACACGTGGAGTGCCCCGTAGATCTCTCGCAGCCACCGACGCATGTCTCGTAGACCCTGCGGGAAGATCAGTTTTGGGGTACATCGATGTTGCCGTCGACCCCCGACAGTCGGCCCGGCTGAGTAGGTCGACCCTGCCAGCTCAAGGGTACCCTTGAGTCCTGTGCCTCGCGACCCGTGCCTTCCTACACTCCCATGGCGACGTGGCCTTCGGAAGGGTCTCGTGCCCTCCCGCGTGTCCCCTCCAGGGAAGTCCGACCCTGCCAGCTCAAGGGTACCCTTGAGTCCTGTGCCTCGCGACCCGTGCCTTCCTACACTCCCATGGCGACGTGGCCTTCGGAAGGGTCTCGTGCCCTCCCGCGTGTCCCCTCCAGGGAAGTCCGACCCTGCCAGCTCAAGGGTACCCTTGAGTCCTGTGCCTCGCGACCCGTGCCTTCCTACACTCCCATGGCGACGTGGCCTCGGAAGGGTCTCGTGCCCTCCCGCGTGTCCCTCTCCAGGGAAGTCCGACCCTGCCAGCTCAAGGGTACCCTTGAGTCCTGTGCCTCGCGACCCGTGCCTTCCTACACTCCCATGGCGACGTGGTCTTCGGCAGGGTCTCGTGTCCTCCCGCGTGTCCCCTCCAGGGAAGTCCGACCCTGCCAGCTCAAGGGTACCCTTGAGTCCTGTGCCTCGCGACCCGTGCCTTCCTACACTCCCATGGCGACGTGGCCTTCGGAAGGGTCTCGTGCCCTCCCGCGTGTCCCCTCCAGGGAAGTCCGACCCTGCCAGCTCAAGGGTACCCTTGAGTCCTGTGCCTCGCGACCCGTGCCTTCCTACACTCCCATGGCGACGTGGCCTCCGGAAGGGTCTCGTGCCCTCCCGCGTGTCCCCTCCAGGGAAGTCCGACCCTGCCAGCTCAAGGGTACCCTTGAGTCCTGTGCCTCGCGACCCGTGCCTTCCTACACTCCCATGGCGACGTGGCCTCCGGAAGGGTCTCGTGCCCTCCCGCGTGTCCCCTCCAGGGAAGTCCGACCCTGCCAGCTCAAGGGGTACCTTGTGTCCTGTGCCTTCGCGCCCCGTTGCTTCATACACTCCCATGGCGACGTGGCCTCCGGAAGGGTCTCGTGCCCTCCCGCGTGTCCCCTCCAGGGAAGTCCGACCCTGTCAGCTCAAGGGTACCCTTGAGTCCTGTGCCTCGCGACCCGTGCCTTCCTACACTCCCATGGCGACGTGGCCTCCGGAAGCGCAGCGTGCGCGTCGGAGGCTGACGGATCCCCCGCCCTGCCACGTCGCTTAGCGACCTGCCCGCGTTCGCGGCCCCATGGGAGGGTGCTGCGGCCGCAGGTTCCGCGGGCCTGGCCCCGCCGGGTCTGGCCGCAGGTTCCGCTGGCCTGGCCCTGCCGGGTCTGGCCTCGGGCCGCATCAGTTTCTGATTATTTTTGATTATTGTTTGACTATGCTTTTTTCATTCGTCCAAAATCCGCCTGTAGGGGGACACGCCCGACTTATGTCCCGAGCCCCAGCCCCAACCCGGAGGGAGGGCCGCGGAGCGGCACGCCGCTTGGACACACACGGTACACGGGGCGCGGCCGCGCATCGTGGCACGTGGCCGCTCGGACTCACGGCCGGCGGCGCCGTGCCATTTTCCCCGCCCCTCGGATCTCTTTGGCGGATGCCGGGCCCGTCGTCCCCCGCCCCCCCCCCCCCCCCCCGGGGGTCGCCTGGCGCCGCCCCGGGCTCGCCCCGCACCGCGAGATGGATTGCGCCGGGGGCGGGCAAGAGGGGGATGATGACTGGGGGGCGATATCGCGGCTCGAGCCGTGAGATCTCCCTGGATTTCATGACCCCCTCGCCTCCTTACAGCGCGTCCCCTGCCCCCCTCCCCACGCCCCCCCGTGGCCGCGCACGTGCCTGGGGCCATGATTTGCGAAGCCCGCCTCTCGGACGCCCCCTTCTTCGACGCCCTCGTCTGCGGGCACGCGGGGTCCAGCGCCGACCCAAGAAAGTCCGCTCGGACCGCCGACAGTTCATGCTCATCAGGAGCGAACAGAAACACGCAGACACAACGAGTCGTCGATTTCCCAGAAGACATGGGAGAATATGGGAAGTGGGGGGGGGGACAAACACCCAGAAAATATGGGAAACTATGGGGAATCCTGCTATCTGTGCCTATTTACTTGGCTGTCCCAGGGCCCCTTCAGTTCATTGCCCCAGCCGGTGCCTGCACCAAGGCACTCCGTACTCGGCTTGCAACATGCCCTGCGTGCGGCTCTCGGTCTTCACCCGGTCGCCGTCCGTGGTTGCCTCGTCGCCGCCTCGTGAGCTGGTGGGTATATTTTTTATGAAAAAAGAAGAATAACAATTTAATTACAAAAAACGTCCTCGCGCGGTCGTCGCTTCGTGGTTGCCCGTCGTGGCCTCGTAGTCGCCCCGTCGCAGCCCGTCGCCGCCGTCGTCGCCGACCTGTGGGAATGTACTACATGGGGTGAGCCATACACAATGCACTGCACAGTTTGCACTGCACCACAGATCCTACACTACATAGCTTGATCAACATAGCTTACACCACATAGCCTGCACCACACAGTTCACACTGCATGCACGTATTAAACCGCACGGCTTCAACAGCACAGTTTGCACCCCACGATTTGCACCACACGGTTTGCACCACATAGTTTGCACCTTCCATCGTATAGTTTCGGCTACATAACATGCACCATAAACATCCATATAGACACACGCACGTAGACATGTACATGTATACATATACATGCATCGTATCGTTTCCAACACACTGTTCACGCAACGTGCATCATAGCCTGCACACCAGAGTGCACAAACCTACTGCTTTGGCGCTGCTTGGGTGCCACGCCAGCAAAACACTCATGCAGCATTCATCTGTCAATGCCACCCCTGCTAATGGTCAATGCTGGCGGTGGGTTGAACAAGCTGCGCTTCGACCGCAGTCTTCCCCGCGCGTGCCAACTTCGAGTTTGGGGGAGCGGGGGAGCATCTGCTATTTCCCTCTACCGTATTCTCGCCCACTTCGAGAGGAGGGCGCGAGGGACGCGGTCGAGCGGCTCATCGACGAGGCGCCAGACCACCTGTGTTTCACCGGCGGCGGCGAGATAGCTAAGCTGGTCGCCGCCAGGGCGGCGCGGCACCTCACGCCTATCACGCTGGAGCTCCGCGGGGGGAGAAGGTAATTGCCAATGCCGCTGCTTGTCCTGGAGAGCCCTCGTCGCCACGGAAGGATTATCCGCGACATGTTGGTAAGAACGCATCCAGGGAGAGGTCCGGGGAGCAGCGACATTGGTACCTGTTCTGTCTGCTAAGGAGCTGGGGGGGAAGAGCCCCGTCTTCGTCGACAAGGGCCTCGGCGACGGCACCCCTGGGACGCCCCAAAACTCTCACACACACACACTCGCGCGCGCACACGCACGCACACACGCACGCGCACACGCATACGCACACGCACACGCACACGCAAACGACGCACACACACACGACGCACACACAGACACAGACACTGAAACAGACACAGACACAGACACAGACAGACAGACATAACGAAAGACAGACAGACAGACAGACAGGCAGACAGACAGGCAAAGGCAGAGACAGAGACATAGACAGAGATAGGCAGACAGACAGAGGCAGACTGAAAGACAGACAGACAGACAGACATGCAGGCAGGCAGGCAGGCAGGCGGGCGGCAAGCCTGGCGGACGGAGAGCCAGCCGACTTCGCCCGCGCTCGACTCCTGCGCCGTGGCGGACTGGTGCTGGCCCCTGATGTGGAGGAGACCTGCCGAGCGGGCGCAGCATCGGCCTGCTGGGGAGGCACGGCCACTCGCGCGGCCCTGCCGGGCGCGCGCGCGCTGGCCCCGCGAGGTAGCGGCTGGCGCTGGCCAGCGCGCGGGCGCCGACGCCGCGCGCGACCCGCGCGCTGACGAACAGGCGCGGCCGCGGAGATCACAGACCCCTCCGCGCAGACACGCGCTGCACACGCGCGCGGCTGCGCACGCCTCCGCACCCCCGGCTACAGCATGACCACTTCCATGCAGCGCCTGCCGCGCCACGCCTACAGGTCGAGACACGAAGCGATAGTAGCAGCAATGAGCTGTTTCTGTCCTGGCCAACGCGAGAGCGCACATGGAACCTCAAGGTGGGCGAAAGAACGCATTGGGCAGCTTCTGACCTGGGTCAATCCAGACCCGGGGCAGTCAGGCCTTACAGGATCCTGCAAGATCCTGCACCCAATCTCGGGTCAATGCGAAGGACCCTGCGAGATCCTGCAGGATCCTGCACCCAAGCCCGGGTCAATGCGGCCCTGGCCGTGCAGGATCCCGCAAGATCGGGCGCTCTGGCTGACCCCGGTTTGCATTGACCCCCGTCCCTTGAGCCCCGAAGGAAGAGGAAGTAGTTCTGGCCGGTTCGACCGGGGGGCACGGAGGTCGGCAGGTCGCCCAGGTCGCTGATAATCGCCGCTCTCCACAGGCTGGCGTTCGGTCGGGCATGTCCCCCCACAGGCGGTTTTTGGACGGAAATGAGAAGATAGTTAAAGGATTCAAAATGTTGAAAAATACCCACAAAAATCGTCCCCATATCATCTTTTGGCCATGTATAATTATTCGTCCTGTAGAGGGACACGCCCGACTGGAGGCTGGCGCTCGTGGCCCAGTGGTGCGCGGAGCTCGCCCGCGGCTTTTGGGGGTGACGGTATGCGCGGGGTGCGGTCTCTCCTGCGGCGTCCGCTGGGGGCCGAGCGGAGTTCTGCGCGGTCAGCGCAGCCCTTGATGGCTCGAAAGAAGACAGCACATACCATAAACATTAAGTTGTGGCGCTCCGCGCGGGTTTCTTGGATCTGCGCTGGAGCCCGCTCCCTGGCGCGCGGGGCGGCGCCGAAGGCGCCGCCAGGGGGGCCCAGCGCGGATCCAAGAAATTCGCGCGGGGTGCCAAAAGTTTATGTTCATGTAGATTATTCTTCTTCTTCTTCGTCTTCTTCTTCGAGTGAGTCCATCTGCGATCATGTGACGGGTGTCCCCCCAGCTCAATGCCGATAGCTGGCCCGAGCACAGGAGGTCGCGAAGCCACGTCAAGTGCGGCAGCAGCGAGTGCTCCGCCGGGGGCTCAGGCCTGGCGGCCGTCACAGAGGCCAGAGGCGACGACCCCCATCGAATACAGGCAGAGCTCGAGCTGTACACTGCGACTGGCGCCGCCGCAGCTCCCCGACGGCCACGGCGGCGACTCCCAGGCCCTCGGCGCCCCCAGTGCCGGCGCGACCGCCCGCGCGGCCCAAGGCGACGTCACAGCTTGAGGCGGGCATATCCTTCTACAGGAGGGTTTTTTTTCAAACATTGTATAAAATTAGTCTCGAGACGATTTGTTTGGGCATTTTTGGATTATTGTTGAATCTGAGTTGCGTCTTCTTTGTTTTAGCACGAGCGTGTTCACCGAGTTTTGTCGTTGAGCGCGCGCTCCGCCTGCCCAGCACGCCTCCAAAAAAGGCGGCTGGGCATCCCCCAGGCGGGTTTGGTATGTGCGCGAGGGTTGGGAGGTTCTGGAGGTCCCCCTTCTCTCCAGCATTCGCTCCGCCACAGCCAGTCGAGCGCCTCCACAGCCCCGACTCGAAAAGGATGCCTGCTTGCCGTATGGGCTGTAGCGCCAGCGCGGCTCGTCATGCATGTTCGAGAATGGAAAGTTCCGTCTACATTCAGGAGGGGAAGAAACACACAGACACTATTAATCGTAGATTTCCCCAAAAATATGGGAAAATATGGGAAGTGGGGGGGAAGACGAAAACCCAGAAAATATGGGAAACTATGGGGAATCCTTTTATTTGTGTGTATTTATTTGTGTGTCCCAGTTTCCCTTCATACATCAGCATTGCCGCCATGCTTCCGTTCTGGCTTCAACCCCCCCCCCGCAAGCATAGTTTCTTCTTCTCCTCCTCCCCCTCCGTCCTCCGGCGCGCGTGCGCGGGTGGCACCATGGGCCATGGAGAAAGCTGTACAGCTCGTGGTGACAGACCGATGCGGGACAAAACACATAAACATTAAAAGCATGAAACTCCTCCTCCCTCCTCCCCCTGTTCCCCTCCACGTCCCCCCCAAAAATTTCTCCGTCCCTCTCCCACCGCTTCAGTTCGGGCACGACGCAGCATGACCGTGAGCCCTCGGACGTCGCGGGCCGCGTCTCCGCTGGCGCTGGCCCCAACTCCTCGACACCGCAGGCCCGTGGAGGTCCCGACCCGCTCCCCGGGGCAAGCTTTTCACCCCGCGCCGTTGTTGACGGTCCTGGGGTCCGGCGACCCTGACTCCGGATCCGCCCTACTTTAAGGACAATTCGTAAGTCGGGCTTGGAATTTCCGGGTTTTCCTTCAAGCCCCGCTGATGCCAACTTCCGCTTTTTTTCCCAACCCTCCTGCGTTGGGTACTCGTTTTGAATAGAGCACTGCGGTCTCCACCTTCCTTCCTTCCCGCCCCCCCCCTCTCTTCCCTCCTCCTCTCCTCTCTTGCTTGCCTTCTCCTCCTCTCTTCTCTTCTCTTGCCTTTTACGTCATCTCTGGGGGGCTGCGATCTGCGGAACTGTCACCACTTTCGAGGGCTGCTGGTGGGTCCAGCGGAGTGAGGCACCACGGGGATTCAGATTAGACCTCGCCATCCCTGGGGGGGGGCTGCGATCTGTGAAACTGTCGCCACTTTCGAGGGCTGCTGGTGGGTCCAGCGGAGTGAGGCACCACGGGGACTCAGATTAGACCTCGCCATCTCTGGGGGGCTGCGATCTGTGAAACTGTCGCCACTTTCGAGGGCTGCTGGTGGGTCCAGCGGAGTGAGGCACCACGGGGACTCAGATTAGACCTCGCCATCCCTGGGGGGGGGCTGCGATCTGTGAAACTGTCGCCACTTTCGAGGGCTGCTGGTGGGTCCAGCGGAGTGAGGCACCACGGGGACTCAGATTAGACCTCGCCATCTCTGGGGGGCTGCGATCTGTGAAACTGTCGTCACTTTCGAGGGTTGCTGGTGGGTCCAGCGGAGTGAGGCACCACGGGGACTCAGATTAGACCTCGCCATCCCTGGGGGGGGGCTGCGATCTGTGAAACTGTCGCCACTTTCGAGGGCTGCTGGTGGGTCCAGCGGAGTGAGGCACCACGGGGACTCAGATTAGACCTCGCCATCTCTGGGGGGCTGCGATCTGTGAAACTGTCGCCACTTTCGAGGGCTGCTGGGGTGGCCAGCGGAGTGACGCCCTACGGGGACTCAGATTAGACCTCGCCATCCCTGGGGGGCTGCGATCTGTGAAACTGTCGCCACTTTCGAGGGCTGCTGGGGTGGCCAGCGGAGTGACGCCCCACGGGGACTCAGATTAGACCTCGCCATCTCTGGGGGGCTGCGATCTGCGAACCTGTCGCCACTTTCGAGGGGTGCTGGGGTGGCCAGCGGAGTGACGTCATACGGGGATTCAGATTAGACTTCGCCATCCCTGGAGGGCTGCGATCTGTGAAAATGTGTCATTTCCCGCGGGCCGCCCGCAGACCTGGCGGCGCGCCTGCGAACGTTCAGCTCCCGCACTAAATGTGCAGGGATGAGGCGGAGAAGCTAGCGGGCGAGCTAAGTCTCGCTCGCTTCTTGCACTTACTACAAGCAGGTTTGAGCCTGTGGAACGCTGCGACGACATGGCGCAGGCAGCGCTCAGTGTTTAGCGTGTACCTGAAAACGCGGCGCTTTTCTGTCTCCTCCCGCCACCTTCATTGTCGTCCTATTCCCCGCTTCACCTGCTCCATTGTTCCATGCATGCTGCTGCTGCCGCGATGGCCTTTTCGCCCCCCCATTCCATCCTCCTCCTGCCCCTCGTTCCCGTCCCCGTTCTTCTTCGAGCCTGGGGCCTGGATCCTCGTTCTTTCGATCGTCGTCCTATGAGTCGTGCAACGCATGCGCGTCCCATGTAGATTGCGCAACAAATCACCGTGTCTACATTGTCGTTGTTCCTGCCAATGTTGGCCTACTCCTCTTGCCACTTGATGCACGTGGGTTGGGTACGTCGCAGGGTAATGTTCTGTTGCTGTTTCCGCCCTGCTTGCGTGGATTCCCGCCCTATGGTATGTTGGGTGCAGAAATGTCCGCCCTCCTTTTTCTGCCTTTTCTAGGTGGATTTCCGACGCATTTCGAAGGTGGAACAAAAAGCCAAAGTAGGGCGGATTTGGGATCCGGCGAAGGTTTCCAGAGGCCGGGCGCGGCCAACATCTGCCCGTCGTGTTTTTTGTCCACGGCGGGAGGTGTGATCTATTGGGCGGCATGCGGGGCGCCGCCCCCCGCCCGTTGAACGCCCTCGCGCGCCACTAAGGGAGGTGTGCGGGCGGAGGAGCCGTTGCCGAGGACGTCCGAGGGCTCGCGTGCGGGGGCGGCAAAGAGGGGGGTCAGGGGGCGGTCGTGGCACCCCAGCCCTCTCGTGCGGAGCGCCCCAGGGGTACCCCCGGGAGGTGGTGCCAGGGTGGCGAGACCGGGGGGCCTGTTGAGGCCAGCTGTGGCTCCCGGGGGTGGACTGTGCGCAGCCCAGAGCCTTGCCGACCTCGGGGGCGGGAAAGAGGGGGGTGATGACCAGGGGGGGGGAGGATATCATGGCGGGGGCCATGATATTTCCCCAGATATCATGGCGCCTCTTCTTATTTCATTACGTCCCTTGCCCCCCCGCTGGGCCGCGCACGTGCCGCCGGTCATGATTTGCACGCCCCCCTCTTGGACACCCCCCTCTTGGCCGCTCCCGATGTGTGTGTGTGTGTGTGTTATGATGCGGTGGGTTTCTGGCTGCCCAGGCATCATGGACAAGGTGGTGAAGGAGTTCCTCCTGCTGCCGCCGCTGCTGCTGATGGATGCTCCGCCCTCCTCACCCCTCCCCCCCCCTCTGTCCCCCCCCCCTTGCCTCCCACTTCCCTCTCTCTCTCCCTCCGCTCTCTCCCTCGCTCTTCCTCCTCCTTGACCTCCTGCCCCCGGCGCCACTCGGGACGTTCCCGTTCCGCGCCGCGCGATGCTATCATTCTCCGGGGGGGGGGGGGGTAACCGCCGCTGCGCGCCGCGGGTCCCTCCAGTAGCCACCGGCAGGACGTTGCCGATTTGCGTTGAGGTGGGAAGGAGGGGTAGGTCACCAAGCCAAGCGCCTTGACCTCCTCCAGCTCCCCCCAAAGGCTGGTGATGCGATTGTCTCCATCCGTGGACCCCCCTGTGTCCCCGACCTCTTCCCCCGGGCCAGTCGTTGTATCGCGGGTAGTTTTGTTGACGGGTCCGGGGCCCGAAAGCATGCCCTGCGCGTCCATGTCGTAATTTACGGTGCAGTGTGGGCCCATGCCAAGAAACACCCTGCTTGCCTCCAGGGTGCCCTGGTTTTTTTTTGGGGGGGGTTCGATAGTTCCGCTATGGAACGCTTGACGTGCCCACACCACAAATCCATGGACGTCCTGGGGTCTCAGGGTTGGGCTTCTTGTGGGAGTTTCCTTCAGAGCGTGAATTACCTACCCCGCTTTCGCTTCCAGGCAAAACCAAGTCATACCACGCGCCTCCTCGTCAGGCGGCCTGACCAGTACAGGCCGTACTTGGGCATCGCTTTGTATCTCCTGGAAGCGAGGGTGGTCAAAAGCGAGGTAGGTTTGTTTGCCCCCTAGTGGAGGGAGGGAGGAGGGAGCAGGTGGAGGAGGAGGAGGAGGAGGAGGAGGAGGAGGAGGAGGTGGAGGAGAAGGAGGGGGAGGAAGAGGAGGAGGAGAGGGGAGGAGGAGCAGCAAGTTGAGGAGGAGGGGAGGGGGAGAGGGGAGAGGGGTGGAGGAGAGCCGACCATTCGAGCCGAGGCGTGCTCCGGGGAAGGCTTCGGGCTGCGCGCAGACGGCCCCCTCCCCCGCAGGCTGTTCCCGTCGGCATCCACAGGCCCCCGCGAGCAGTCCCGGCTGGCTTCGGCAGGTCCCTCGACTAGTCCAGGGCGGAGGAGGAGGAGGAGGAGTAGGAGGAGGAGGAGGAGCAGGAGGAGGAGGAGGAGGAGGGGAAGGGGGAGGAGGACGGGGGGGAGGAGGATGAGGAGGAGGAGGAGGAGGAGGAAGAGGGCGGTCTTCACACCCCAACCCTCTCGTGCGGAGCGCCCCAGGGGCACCCCGGGAGGCGTCGTCCGGGTGGCGAGACCAGGGGAACTGTGGAGGCCAGCTGTGGCTTCCCGGGGGTTTGACTGCGTGCAGCCCAGAGCCCTACCGACCTGGTCCTCGTCCCTCGTGATCCTCCCCCCGAAGGGTGGGGGGCCACATGTAAACCCTACCCCTACCCCCCTCAGAAATCGTGGGGGGTAGGGGTAGGGTTTGCACGTGACCCCCTAAAGGAGATCCTCGTCACGAAGCAGGCCTTCAGCGGCCAGTTCTGCTGCGCGCACGACTACGTGCTCGTGCACAGCGAGGCTCCCAACGCGCCTGAAACGGGTCGACGTACCTGACACGAGGACGAGGGAGGGATGATGATGATGATGATGATGATGATGATGATGATGATGATGATGATGATGATGATGATGATGAGCATGATGATGATGATGATGATGATGATGATGATGATGATGATGATGATGATGATGATGATGTTGATGTTGATGTTGATGTTGATGTTGATGTTGATGATGATGCTGCTCATGCTGATGATGATGATGATGGTGGTGGGGATGATGATGATGATGATGATGACGATGATGATGATGATGATGATGATGATGATGATGATGATGATGGTGATGGTGATGATGATGCTGATGATGATGATGATGATGATGCTGATGCTGATGCTGATGCTGCTGATGCTGATGCTGATGCTGGTGCTGATGATGATTATGATGTTGCTGATGTTATCGACGAGACTGATGATAATGATGATGCTGCTAATGATGATGATTATGATGGTGTGGCTGGTGCTTGTGTTGATGATGAAACTGATGATAATGATGCTGATGTTGATGATGATGATGATCTTGATATTGATGATGATGGTGTTGGTGCTGGTGCTGGTGATGACGATGATGATGATACTATTGTTAACGTTGACGATGCTGTTGATGATGATGATGATGATGATGATGATGATGATGATGATGATGATGATGATGGCGGTGCTGGAGCTGGTGCTGTTGAGGATGGTAATGATGATGCTGATGATGATGATGATCTTGATACTGATGATGATTATTACGATGATGAGGTTGACGATGATGATGGTGGTGGCGGTGATGGTGGTGCTAGTGAGGATGATGGTGATGATGATGATGATCTAGGGAATGATGGTTGGGAGGAGGAGGAGGAGTTGGATGAGGATGAGGATCATACAGACGATGCTAGCAATGATGATGATGCTGATAATGATGCTGATGAGGATGATCAGGATGGTGATGGTGATGATGATGATGATGATAATGAGCATGATGGTGATGATGATGATGATGGTGATGGTGATGGTGTGAATGAGTGTGATGATGATGGTGGTGGTGAAAGTCGGGATTATGACGATGGTGATGCTGACGAACATGATGATGATATTGATGATGATGGTGGTGGTTGTGATGATCATGATGATAATGATGGTGATGATGGTGATGCTGACGAAAATGATGCCGCTGAAGGTGGTGATGACGATGATGATGATGCTGATGATGATGATGATGATGATGATGAGGATGAGGATGAATAGGAGGTGGAGGAAGAGGAGGAGGAAGCCGAGTCGTTTGGCCATGCCCCCGTTTTTGAAGGGTCAGGGGATTCTGAAGGGTTCCCCACAATTACACAGTATGAGTACAACCCTCATCTGTCCCCCGAATCTGTCCTGAGAGTGTCTGCCCTCCTTCCGCTCATATGTTATATCTATATATACATGGTGTGTGCGAGTCGCTTGTTCATACGGTTGTGTTGCAATCCACTTATTGTCGGAGTTTCGAAACTGCGGGCCACCTTTTTTGGATTATGCATGTGTACCGAACCCTCATTTCCCGTCTTCCGCCTCTCCGCCTTCTCCATGGCCTTCTTGCTCCCCCCTTGCTCCTTCCACTCCAGGCCCTGCTCTGCTGTTCGCGCTCGTCCTCCTCCTCCGCCTCTTCTCTCCTCTTCATCCCGGTCCTCCTGCCCATCCTTCCGCTCATCCGCAGCCTTCGCCTTCTCCTGTCCTCCTCCTGCGCATGCAACTCCCACTTTCCGGCTACGCATAACAACATAGGGTCTTTCTGGGATTTCCGAGTTCGCCATGACTCACGTCCGGATAGAGGCAAAACGGCGCAGTGGTAAGCGAAGCGACAGGAGGGAGGGGTATGACGTGCGCGCACCTAGCTTGTCCCTACCACCTCTCCCTTTCTCCACCTTTCCCATCCTCGCAGACACTTCGTCTTCCTCTTTCTCCTCCTCCTCGTGATCCCTCCTCCTCCTCCTCCTCCTCCTCCTCCTCCTCCTTCTCCTCGTGATCCCTCCTTCTCCTCCTCCTCCTCCTCCTCCTCCTCCTTCTTCTCCTCCTCCTTCTCCACGCGGTGTTCAATTCTTCACGCTTCACGTAGTTATCCCCACCAGCCCCTTCGGAATCCCTGCCCATGAGAATTGACGGGGAAATCTACGACGAGATGCATAATATAGTTAAACACAACGGGCAACCAGGGTGAACATATAGATCTCTGGAAGTAAGGGGGGTGGCCTCGGAGGGCCTCTTCAGGCCATCCCTGGGACCCACGTGGGGCCAAGGGAAGTAGGAGGAGGACGACGACGACGACACCACCACGGAGACGAAGAAGAGAAGAGAGAGGACGAGGAAGACGATGATGCCAAGGACGAGGACGAGGAGGACGAGGAGGGCAACGGGGACGATGACAGAGCCCTCAAAGTTGCGTATTGGAGCATGTTGGGATTCTTTTGGGGGGTACCCTCCTGGGGCTCTTTGGGGGGATCGTGGGGCCCTCTCGGGGCCCTCTTGGGGTCTCTTGGGGGCCTGTTGGGAGCCCTGGATGGCCTCTTGGGGGTATCTTGGAGGGCGCCGGCGCCAGTTGGTGATGCCTGGCGCCCCCCTCGGGGCCATCGGAATCGCCCCTTGGGGCCCGCGTGGGGCTCTCCTGTGGGCCGCTCTTGCGTGTCCTTGGGAGCCGTCGGGGGCCTCCCTGGGGCCGTCTTGAGGCCCCATAAGCGGCATCGGAAGCAGAGAGGCGAGAGTTCCAACATCATCGATTGTCCCGCTGGTTTCTGACGGAGTGTGGTTTCGTGGGGGATCCTGAGGGGGGGCTCCGGGAGCACTTCGAACCGTCTTGTGGCTCTCGTCGGGCCTCTCGGGGTCCTCTTGGGGCCCTCTCGGGGGCATGTTTGGAGCCCTCGAGGGCTCTTGGGCCTATCGTGAACAGAGAGGGGGTCGTAACGTTACTCCCCCTTAGGGCCATCGAAAGCGTCTCCTGGGCCGCTCTTGGGCGCTCGTGGGGCGGCCTGGCACTGCCCGGCCAGGACATCTTCGTGGCGCCTAGGCTGGCAGCCAGCAGTTTCAGCAGCCGCGCGGCCTCCTGTCTTCTGCGCACTCCCTCGGGCCATCTGGTGCAGGCAATGGTGGGGGGGGAAGGCTGCAGAGGTGAAGGGAAAACGGGAATGGTGGAGGAGAAGGCACAGCGGCAGCAGGTGCAACGCCAGCAAAAGGATGCGCAAAGAGAAACCTGCGGCGCGTAGAGCGTGCTCGTTCAGACCTCACCACCACACTAGCAAAACTCGCCTGCACGTTTTCGTTGTTATCTACATTGCAACCTTGTTTTCGCTTTGCTCAGTGCCACCATTACATCGAGTCATAGCTATCCGCTCTTTCAGGGCAGCCAGCTCGCCGCCGTAGCCACGGCGCTAATGATAATTGCGGTGCAGGCAGTCAGACGCTACGAGGTTGGAGGTGCTTGATGCCAGTTCTCCTCTGTCCCCCTGCGTCATCGATTCGCCTGTAGCTTCACATGGTTTCGGCGCAACTCGCGCCAGAGGTTATGGTAGTATTCTAACCAAGTCGACGCCCAATAGCTGGCTGTTCTGCCCAGCGGCCCATTCGCTGTGGCCTCTTCCACATCCAGCATCTGTTGCGCAACATACGTTGTACAAACTGTGTTGTGCAACATATGCTGTGCAATAGTTGTGAAGCGATATGGATGGTGCTGTCTAAGTGGTGCAGCGGAGTGTTGCAATCTAAATTGTGCAGTCTATGGTGTGCCATATAGGTGTTGCAATCGATGTGGTGCAGTGGACGTGGCGAAATCTACGTGGTGCGTAATCTACGTGGTGCAACCTATCTGGTACGCAGTCTACGTGGTGCAGCCGACGTGGTTCAATTTGTGTGGCGCAGTCTACGTGGCAATTTATGCGGTGCAAACTATGCGGTGCGATCGACGTGATTCAATGCTGCCAGTATATGTTGTGCCGTCTATGTGGTGCAATAGTTGTGGTGCCTTATACATGATGCAATAAAGATTTATATGCATACATATATGGGGCAACAGATGCTGTGCAATCTAGGCGGCGACGGGGCGGCGACGAGTCGGCGACGGCGAGGACGGCGCCGCCAGACGGCCATCCAGGCCCAGATGACGGGCGGCGACGCGGCGACGACGTGGCGGCGATGGCGAGTAGGGAGCCGCCAGAGCGACAATGCCCAGACGACGGGCGGCGACGAGGCGGCGACGGGACGGCGACAGCGAGCACGGAGCCGCCAGACCGACATTCAGGGCCAGTTCCTCCGAAGAGAAGACAGAACCCCTAAGTGCAAGCAGTGTTTGGGGAAACTACCCGCCAGCGGTGCATCACCCATGCAGTAACCGCCCGCGGCGATCGGTGGTGGGAGGGGAGGGTTGTGTGCGCACTGGTTAAGCTCTGCCCGACTCCCTTCCTTCCTCCCCCCTCTTCCCCCTCCTTCCACGCGCCTCTCTCTGTCTGGGAGTCTCTCGGGGGCCCTCTGGGGCCTTTTTGGACGCCGTGGGGGGCAGTCTTTGGGCGGTCTCGGGGCCATCTGGCGCGGGGGGGGGTCCTGAGGCTGCCTTGGGCCTGGCTCTTGCGTCCGTCTTTGGTCTGGCTCAGGCCGTTTTGTCGCCGGCTGGGGACCCTCGGGGGAGCTGGCCTGGATTGCTTGCGCTCCAGGGCGGAGCCCAGGGGTCCGTCCAGAGGCCCACCGAAGTCCACCTCGTGACCAGTCTTCGTCTTGTTCCTATGTTCGCTTCTCGTTTTGCGGGCCACGGATTTGATCGCGGCTCCAGAGGTGCCCTGGTTCGACTGATCCGATGCTGCAGGATCCGGCGCTGACTGATCCGGAACAGTCCGATCCGATGTTGTTTGGTCCGATCTCTGGATTCGATGTTGACAGATCCTGCCCCAGGTTCGGTCGCAAATCATGGGAGCCTCGTATGTCCTCGTAGTGCATTCGTGTGCGCTAGCGCCTGGTAATGGATGTGGGAGCGTCGACTAGCGTCTACGAGCGCCGACGAGCGTCGAGTGGCCTCGGTAGGCCTCGGCTAGTGTCGATTCCGCGGCGGTTTCGTGTCGATTCGCAGGAGGCAGGCTTCGAGGCTCCCACGAGTTGCCACAGAACCCGTGGCCGAGAGGCGCGGGACGTCTTCGTGCAGAAGCTCAAGGCCGCCCTGGAGGAGCTGGGCGATGCGCGGAGCGTGCCCCTGAACAACAGGAGGCAGTACGAGCGCGTCAAGGCGATGCTCCTCGAGTCCGACGGCGAAAAGGCCCTGGCGGGGGGACCCAGCAGTTCGGATGCAACTCCTGGGAGGCCAAATGCTGAGTTTGCCCTGGTCCGAAATCCGGCTAAATCCAGTTTTATCCCGTTCAATCTGGCCTAATCCCGCTCAATCTGGCGCAATCCCGCTTAATCTTGCTTACTCCGGCTTGATTCCGTTTAATCCGACGCCCAATTTGGCGCAACAGCCCCCCGAATGGGGCTCAATCCTTTCCTCCCAATAGTTGCCTCCAGATAACAGATCAGTATCAATCATCCGAGAAGATACGTCTCATAGCACCAACATCGCAGAGCGGATTGCGTTCGGAAAGTGATGGGATGGGCCCGGAGTGTCCAGGAGAATTTCGTTCCAGATTTCGAGGTGAATTTCGTGCAGATATATTTGGGCCAGGAATGAAGACGACAAGAGAAACCAACGGGAAAGTCACTTCGTCTTTCACTCGCCCTTTCGGGGGTTTTGCACCGGCAGAAATCCGCGCGCAAGAGTCCGCTGCAGCACGTCTGCAAGGTCGGTGCAGCGACACGCCCGCAGGGCCAGCCAACCAAGACGCTGATCAGAGGCCAGCAGCATATGTACGCGTACGCGGTTAGCTTCCTCTGGAGGGCGTTTGAGCGAGGACGTTCGTGCACTCACGACCGCGGAGGGCGTACACCTTAGGCGATGCTTAAGACAACTCAAGTTTTCGGCCAGAGTCTCGATTATTCTTAATGTTTCAGTGTAAATCTCAAGATTTTCATCGACATTTTGGGTTTTCATTCAAGTTCTGAGACTATGAATTTCTTAACCCATGATTTCTTAAGCATATCGCAGGGTGTACATGTACATGACGTCGTTGCTCGCTCAGCGGAGGCCAGGGCCACACGTTGGGCTCCGGGAGACGGGCTTCGGTGGTCGGGCCGCTCCTGGGCTCCAGGCGACAGGGGAGCTTGCAGGGAGCCCGGCGGCTCGCCCGCGGCCAGAGGGGCCCTCCCTCGTTCGGAGGTGCACAGGACCCCCAACGGTGACACGTCGATTGGTGGATTGCCCGTCGTCGGTTTTCGAGAGGGCGCCGTGGCCGTTATGTTCCAGGTCTGCGCCCGCCAGGTTTGGGCCTCAGGTCGTTTTCACCAGACCACGTTTTACTAAAGGGAGGTCTGTCCATCCCCGACTCGTGCCCTGCGCGGCGGTCCCTGTGGTGGCACGGCGGCCTTTGCATGGCGCCAAGATCGAAGAGCGGATGTCGTGCGGATGTCAATCGGATGGGCCCGGGGAGTCCTGGGGAAGTTCGATCCGGACTTCGAAGTGAGTTTCGTGCGGATTTTTGGGGCCAGGAATGAAGACGACAAGAAAAAACAACGCGAAAGTCACTTCGTTTTTCACTCGCCGTTTCAGGGTTTTGCGCTGACAGATATCCACGCATAAATCCGCTGTAGCACGTCTGCAAGGTCGGTGCAGTGAGCTCTTCCCTTCTGCCGGCCAATTCGCTTTGTAGTGCCCCTTGCATCGCTTCCGCGCTGGAGCGCATTGTGCCGCCTCGCTGCCGACGGCAAAGGTGGTAGCACGGCGGCTGTATCGGCACAGTTGTTCGGGCAGCCGCGCGGATTCCTCGGGGCGGCGCTGGCCCCCCCCTGGCGACGCCCGAGGTGCCCCCTCCTCTGGCGCGCTCCGCCAGAGGAGGGGGCCGGTGTCAGCCTGCGGGCGAGGAGAGCGCTGCACATGCCCCGATGCTGGCCAGGCCCCCCCTGAGCTCAGGCAGGATATGTGCGTATGCTTTCGTGGCCAAGGCAGGAGGGCGTATGCACCGATCCTGGGTTCAGGATGGGCCTCGCGTTTTCAGGAGGCCCCAGGAGGACGTATGCACCGTATGCACCGCCAGAGTCGGTGTCCGTGTGTGTGTGTGTGTGTGTGTGCATCATTCTCCTTCCTGTAAACCTGAGGGATCCGCGCGGCCCTCCGAATGCTAACCGAGTGCGGGCGATAATAAATCTGACGCCCCCTTAATTAACCCCCTCTACTTATTATCCTCGTTCAACAGGGTTTAATTGTGGAGATAGGCGCGGAGGCCGAACTTTCTGATCCACCTGGGAAGTTGTGAATCGAAGTTACTATCATCTCATGTTGACTAGCAACAGTATCAAAAACGCTGAGCATGGCCATGGTGGTCTCACCACACCAGTTGTATAGTCACGAGCTTCGAGATCTCTCGAGTCAATTTTGTGCCGAGCGCCTGCTGGCAAGTTGTATGGCCACGAGCTTCGAGATCTATCGAGTCAGTCTTGTGCCGAGCGTCCAGGATCACTATCATCATGATCATCGTCATCATCATCATCATCATCATCATCATCATCAGCATCAGCATCATCATCATAACTCAACTTCCCCGGGCAAATCCACTATTACCCCCGCCAGACCCCCGAGCTTTATTATCCCCCAGTGATTATTGTCGCCCGCGCAGGGTCGTAGTTATGCTGCTTCAGTATTCCCTCTCTCATCCCTCCTTCTTCCCTCCTCCTTCCCTCCCTCGTTCACGCAAGATCGCGCCGCGTCGACGCGTGGGCGACCCGAAGGACACTTTTCATCCCCCCTTAAACCCCTGAGACCGTAGCAAGCTGGAACCTCGACCATCCCTTCTTCTTCCCTCCTTCTTCCCTCCTCCCTCCCTCCCTCGTTCCCTCCCTCCTTCCCTCCTCCTTCCCTCCCTCGTACCCCCCCAAACCCCTGAGACTGTAGCAAACTCGAACCTCAGGACCGTAGGGACTGACCTTTGGACCTTGGAAGCGGGCGCCACGTTGCCGCCCGTACCGCCTCTTGGGCGCCCCGCGCTTGGGGCGTGTGCCGAGGGTGCGCCACGCTGCCGCCTCGTGGGCACCCCGTGGGCGCCCCGTGCTTTTGGAACTACACGACGTAGTTTGCACCGCATCGTTTTTACCACCTATATTACACCACGTAGCCTGCGTTGCACATGTTACACCATCATACAGTTTGCACTTCCAGTTCGTACCGCCTAGCTTACACGGCCTAGTTTACACCGCTTACACCACATAACTTACTCAGCATAGCATCCACCTCCCCAGCTCACACCGCATGGCGCACACGACAGCGTTCACCATTGATTCATGCCGCACACCTTTCACTTCGACTGTCCAATAACGCAATGTTTGGCGTCCACGTTAGATGAGATAGTCGAATGTGTGATTGTACGCACATGCTTTGCGGTAGCCCAACCTTGCGCCACGCGCTTCTTAAAACTCTCGGTCGCTCCACTCCTGCGTCCTGAAAACGAGGTGTCTCGTGCAGAACCCTGTGACGTGCATCGGGGGCCATGGGCGGCGCGGTGACAACACTGCGTGTGGTGAGCTCGTAGGGATTCGGGATGACCGCGCGGTCTTGGGACTCTCCGGGGACGCCTCTTGCGAGTGGGGCCTCTGGAGTGTCCCAAAGCGGTGTGGTGGCGGACCGTGCGGGAGGTACCTTGGGGATCCCAACGTCACCGCACGGTCTGTCACCTCACCGTCGCCGCCCCGCGTCGCCCCACGCGCCCAGAGCATCAACGTCGTGACTTACTCGCACCGCGGACCCCCTGGAGCTTTGGGCCCCTTCTGAAGGACCTGCGTCTCAGCTCGAGTCGTGCCGATCACGGTGCCTGGGCCCCGTGGGAACCCCAGAGGCCGACCGTGGCAGAGACATCTCCCGCCGTGACTCTTCCCGCGACTCGGCGCTCGCGGCGGTGTTCTGGTTCATCGCGGTTGTCCTCGTGGCGCTCCTTCAGGTGTACCAGGATGTAGGGGTGAACTGATTGAGGTCCAAGAAAAAGGGGTATGGGCCCTGCGCTTTCCGCCCCCGCGGCTTCCCCCGAGTCTGGCCGGCTGTCGCCCGCTCTCGCGGGGAGACGAGCCCCGCGGGCGGCTTCGCTTCATCGTTTGGGGGGGGAGGGCGGCGCGGTCGATCGAGCATCGAGGGGCGAGGACTCCTCGAGCCTCGGCCCTGGTTCCTCGCCCCTGGATCCTCCAGGGATCTCCTGGACCCTCGAGCCTGGGAGCCTCGGCCCTCCTCGACGAGGCGGGGGTCGAGGATGCAGCAGGCTCGAGGGTCCAGGGTCGAGCCGCGAGGGCCGCGGGACGAGGGCAGAGCAGCGAGCGCCGAGGCTCCGGGGTTCAGTCGGGCACGTCCCTCTACAGGAGGACTGCTGAAAAAAAACAGGCAAACAGAACACCAGGGGGGAGCATTTCTCGAGAATGTTTGGACTCGCTGAGAGTATTTTGTGAGCATCTCTTCGTTGGTCCTCCCAAGTCCGCCTGTAGGGGGACGCGCCCGACCTTCCGGGGTCCAGGGCCCGGGGCGCCGAGGGTCCAGGGCCCGGGACCCGGGAGACCAGGGCACGGATGAGCGAGGACGTGGAAAACCACGGGAGCAGCATGTCTCGGCAGCGAGCGGGGGGGGGGAAGTGAGAAGGGGCGGGCCTTCTCAGAAGGCTCGGAAGTCCCGCGGCCTTCTGAGCAGTGTTCTAAGCCTTCCCCGAAGGCACAGGGAAGTTCTCATAAGGCGCGAGGGCTTTTGAGAAGTCCCGCCGCCTTCTGAGAAGGTCTTCTTCTTCTCATTTCCCCCCTCGCTCGCCGGCAGCCCCCATTAGAGGAGGCAACAAAGGCGTTGCTTCGCCAGCTCGCGATCGCTTGGCGAACGCAGGGCCGAGTTGAGCCCTATATGGGTCTCAGTGGGTTTGGTGGTTAATTGCTTGTATGACTGCTGGATGCTGGCTGCTGGCTGCTGCCCCCCCCCCCATCGTGGGCGGGGAGGGGCACCGGAGTCCGGTCATGCGAATATAGTGACCGGACTTCTGTGCCCCTGGGGAAAAGGGCACACATAGGCGTTGATGCCTTGTCATTGTTGTTGCTGTTGCTGTTGTTGGTGTTGTTGTTTGTTGTTTGTTGTTTGTTGTCGTCGTCCCACCCGCCACCCACCCGCGACCCACCCCGCCACCCACCCCGCGACCCACCCCGCGACCCATCCCGCGATCCACCCCACGACCCACCCGCGAAAAAAACGCGACCCACCCCGCGACCCACCGCGACCCACCCGCGACCCACCCGCGACCCACCCGCGACCCACCTCGCGACCCACTGGACGACCCAGCCGCGACCACTTGCGACCCACCCGCGACCCACCCCGCGACCCACCCTCGACCCACCCGCGAAAAAACCGCGACCCACCCCGCGACCCACCGCGACCCACCCGCGACCCACCCGCGACCTGGCCACGTCGGTTTAACGGAAAGATCGGTGCTTGCGGCGGGCTCGTTGTATAATATGTGAAATTGTGGCGCTCGCGGCGAGCTTCTCCAGAGCCTCGCAAATTGCCGTCGCCCCCGCCGCCCCCTCACTCTTATCCGCATCTGCGGGGTGCTACGTATGTCATCAGTGTATCTCTTGCGGCTCACGTACTTGAAGGTGGAGAAGGTTTGCCAGTTGATCTTCGCAGGCTGACTCGCACTACAACATTTTAGCAGGCCAGCCGGCCCAGGCCAGCCTCACCACGCTCAGCTTTTACCTTTGCCACACCTCCACTGGCAGCGGCAGGCCTTTTGACACGCGTCTGCCACAGACCACTCCTGCTGTCGCCTTCGTCTCCCCACTTCCCACACGCTCCCTACTCCTTGTTTCAACAGGTTAGGCCACCTGACCTCACCAAGCGATTCCCAGGGGCCGTACCCGACCGTCTGCTGTGGACAGCCGATACCCTGTGCATCCTTTGGATGCATAGGGTATCGGTTTTCTCCTTCGGTTCTTCACGGCCCCTGACTAACTCACTTGGTACCCGTCGTTGCTCCTTGCTTTGCGTGGTACCCACACCTTTTGCACTGCAGCCTACAGGCCATCCATACACCTGGCCAGCCTAGCGCCAATGGCACTGACCAGTCTCGAGGTTCATCTCATTCAGGGTAGCAGTCCACAAATTGCCTACGCTGCACGGCCGCCATTGGATTTCCCGCGCGCAACTGTGGCATATCGTAACACATAATCATAAGGGTATTCATCGGATTGATCACTGTGTCGATTCAGGTTCTGCGGACTTCTTACACTCAGGCATGTGCTTTCGTACCTGGCGGGCGCCTACGTGTGTCCTATTCTTGCCGCCGCCTTTTCATCCTGCTTGTCCCGCGGCGTCCGCCGGCTACCTTGTGCGTCGAGCCATTCTTGTTCATTCAGAAACTCCACAATGTAGGATTCAGGTTGGGTCAACGTCAACAAGAAAAAGGACACCGAGGAGGAGGACGAGGAGGATGTGGAGGAGGAGGAGGAGGAGGAGGAGGAGGAGGAGGAGGAGGAGGAGAGAGGGGGAGAATGGGCGGAGGAGGAGAGAGGGAGGAGGAGGAGGAGGAGGAGATAGAGGAGGAGAGGAGGAGGAGGAGGAGGTTTAGGAGAGTTTGAGTTTGAGGAGGAGGAAAAGGAGGAGGAGGAGGAGAGAAGGAAGTTGGATGAGGAGGAGGAGGAGAGGAGGAGGAGGGGGGGAGGAGGAGGAGAACAAGACAGAGGAGGAGCAGGAGTTGAGTGTCCAGGGCCCAGCGCCGAGGCTCGTGGGCGCCGCCCGCCGCCTGCCCCCCACGGGTCGGAGGTGCCAGCCCTGGCGGGGGCCCACGTCCCCGTGGACTCCGCCATGACGCTGCCCGTGACGGCCCCCCCGCGCGCCCCTTCTGTTGCGGAGGGGAGGAGGAGGAGGGGGAGGGGGAGGGGGAGGAGGAGGGAGGAGGAGGAGGAGGAGGAGGAGGGAGGCGGAGGAGGAGGAGGAGAGGAGGAGGAGGAGCAGGAGGAGGAGGAGGAGGAGGAGGAGGAGGAGGAGGAGGAAGAATAATAATCAGAAGCAGAAGACGAAGAAGAAGTAGAAGAGGAAGAGGAGGAGGAGGAGGAGGAGGAGGAGGAGGAGGAGGAAGAGGGGGGGAGGCCCTGTTCGGTGGCAAGTCAGGAGAGCCTGGCACAGGCTCCTGCCCATCGGTCGTTGAACCTCTGTATTTGTGGATTCCCAGATTCTGGTCTACTCTTGAGCGCCTTTTCGCTTCATTGGTCCAGAGGCTTCACTGTTTCCATCCTCCTTTGGGGGCGAGCGTACACACGATCTGTCTTCGCCGCCTTCCTATGTCATGTTTCTACCTGCTTCTCCCGACCGATGGGTAATTCTGTCTTTAGCGTCGACTGGTTTCGATTCGCGTCTGGGAGTCGACGAGCTGGCGCCGAGTTAGCGCCGAATTAGCGTCGATTCAGCGTCGATTCAGCATCGATTGAGCGCCAACCAGCCTCGAAAATTGTCGATTAGTGTCGATTCGCAAGATCCGACAAGATGGTACGGGAGGCTCCCATAAGTGGCCACCGAAGGTTTGGCGGCGGCGGCGAGGAGTCGAGGACAGCCCAGGGGGCAACGTCGGAGGGACAATGAGTTACCAGAGAGCTCTCAAGCCGTGATTGCGCCATCTTGCCGCCCGGCTCTGGGACGTGTCTTGCGAGATCTCCAGCTTCGAGCGTCTGTGACTGCGGCTCGCAGCACATCCTCCCGCAATGATGCGTGCCTGCGTACCTGCGCACCTGCAGCAACTCGTGCAAGCCATGTGCAACCACGAGCTGCAGTGGCAACGATGCTCGGCCCAAGTGTGATACAACAGCCGGGGAGGACGGCTCGGGGGCACAACGTCAGAAGGACGACGCTTCGAGACTTGAGGCTTCGACGTTTCTCGGACGGCTCCGTCGGCTCTCGGCGGCCCTCCAGCCGCAGAGTACCCTCCCGCAGCGGTGCCTCGCTGACAGAGTTCCGGAGGTGCCCGGATCGTCCCGAGCGGCCCTCTCCTGCGCCCTTGTGCGGGGCGGCGACGGCGAAGAGTCGAGGACGTCTCGGGGGCAGCGTTCGAGGGACGAAGTTTCGAGAGACTCAAGAATTCGACGTGGTCGGACGGCTTCTCGTCGGTTCTCGGGAGCTTTCGGCCGTGTAAAGTCGGCTCCGAACGGCGTTCTCGGTCTCGAGGTGTGTCCTCCAGCGGCGGGCAACGGACTTTCGGGATTTCTGGTTTCTGCGGCCATTCTCAATGAACACGCCATATGATTGATCCCCCCCCCAGTTATAGACGTGCGCACTGCTCCTGAGCCAACCAGACACCCCCCCTAACGTTCCCCCTGACTTCCGCGGGGGGGGGGGGCGGGCGACGTGGAGGAGTCGAGGACGACGGCGCCGGCAAAGGGCTAAGACGGGGGCGACCAGGGCGGGGACAAGGTTGGACGAGGACGGCGACGAGGACGAATCACGAGGACGGCGACAAGGACGAGGTCGAGGGAGTGTCGAGAACGGAGACAAATACCAGTGACGATGGCGGGTGCGACGACGGCGAGGACGAGGGGTGATAAGGACGGCAGCAGTAGGAGGAAGAGAAGGGTCCAGGACCAATAATCAACTCCTTCAGGGGTCTCGTGGCCAACGTTCAGAGCCTTTTAGATGTCTCCTAAGACCCCGCAACTAGGTATTCCACTCAGCGGGGGACGCCCGTTTACAGAGGAGCGCCCCAGGCGGAAGCCGCGTTCCGAGGAGGGACCGTCCTCATCGCGATTGTGATTACTCAACGTGTCTAGATGCAGGACCGTCGGGCACAAGCTGGTGTCAAGCGAGAGCCCCATCTTGAGACAGGATGATCCCTTCATCCGTGTAAGTGCTTGTCCTTCGGGTGGAAAAGGCCTGGGGAGTCTTGCGCGAGAGCCCCATTTTAACAGGGAGCCGACATCCCGCTGTGTGACTGTTGCGCATTCTTCAGCTTCGGGTTCCCAGATGACTTGATTTGAGATGAGGAGGAGGAGAAGGAGGAGGAAGAAGAAGAAGAGTCCGTAGCCATTTGGTCTCAAGCCATGATGGCTCCAGCCGGGGGGGGCGGTGCACGCGATCAGACATTAGCATCTTCTGATTCGGGTATAGCCTGGACCCCAGGTAAGGGGACCCGGTTAGTGGTAGGGCCCAGGAGTCTTTGAATCGGCCAGAATCACTAAACCAGGTCTGCTGCAGCTGGTGTTTTTTCGGGTGACGGCAGTTCCGGTTAGTGGAACGGGGCGGGGGGGTCGTCCCCCAGTACACATCACTAAACCAGGTTCCACTAAACCCAGTTCTGCCAACGCTCGATTGATGGCCACATTTACATTTACGATGCATGTCCAGCGTTGACCTGTCCTGGGTGGACAGTAACAATCAGAGCGTGCCGACCGCTGCGAGCGTGTAGACCGCCAGTGCCTTCGACAAGTGCAAAAGGGCTTACGGGTGATCTTGGTGGTAGGGGGGATTGAGCGTGTCGACCGCCAGCGCTACGGTATTGGAACAGCCCCACCGCTGATGCTTGCCTCGAGTACAAGAGGTGGATAGGACGACGATGGCGCCAGTGGTCCTGCCCCTTCAGCTTCTGGCCCTGCTGGGGGAGGACGCTGCGAATGGGGCCAGCCTCAAGCTTCTGGAGCAGGGCCGTCCGCATCGCGAACCGTGGGGGCAGGAGGGGGATGGGGAGGAAGAAGGCTCGAGCGGTGGATATGAGGATGAGGAGAAGGGGGGGAGGGGAACATCGAGGAAGCGCGAACCTTGAGATCTGGGTGTCACATTTTGTTCTCCATGGGCGGTACCGCCCGGTGCCAGCAGGCCCTGAGACCACGGCGGATCGATCCGGCTCGAAAACTGCGATGGGACGATGGGGTCCAGGGCTTCGGTCGTGTCTTTGCGATGCTGCATGTTTCGCAACGTCGGATCTCAGGGAGTCCCGTCTCCATACGAAATCGGATGAGGATGAGGAGCGGCAGGGTTAATACAGAAGGCACATCGTAGCAGGACCAGTGTCCCACTCGAATGTCTGATTTGTGAGGTCCCCGGGCACCCGTTCGATTCCCGGAGGCATGCTGCGAGGTCCAGGGCCGACCGAACAATGTGCCCCTCGAATCTGATGCACAAGGAGTCGTGGCGCCAACATCGCAGAGCGGTTTCGTTTGGAAAACGACAGGATGGGCCCGGAATGTCCTGGAGAATTGCGTTCCGGATTTCGAGGTGAATTTCGTGAGGGTTTGTTTGGGCCAGGAGTGAAGACTAAAAAACAACCCATGCGAAATTCACTTCGTTTTTCACTCGCCATTTCGGGGTTTTGTATTGGCAGAAATCCATGCAAAAATCTGCTGGAGCACGTCTGCAAGGTCGCTGCAGTGAGAGGAGAGGAGAGGAGAGGAGGTGAGGGGAGGCTGAGGGGAGGAGGAAGTGAGGGAAGTGGAGGAGAGGGAGGGAGGGCGACGTACCGAGGGAGGAGAGAAACTCAGAAGCAGCGGGCAGGGAGCGAAGGAGCAGAAGACATGAGGGCGGGCCCGCGGGCTTCTGCCTGGGCAGCCTCCACCAGAGGTCTCCCTGGGGGGGGGGCCCTAAAGTGACGGAAGCGTTTAATAAAAAGTCTAGCCTCGATTTGCGAGGAGGGGGAGGAGGAGGGGGAGGCAGTGGGAGGCAGTAGGAGGGAGGGGGAGTGGGTATGAGTGACAAGGAGTAAGGAGGAGGAGGAGGAGGAGGGAGGAGGAGGAGAGGAGGAGGAGGAGAGGAGGAGGAGGAGGAAGGAGAGGGGAGGAGAGGCAGCTAGGAGAGAGGAGGGAGGAGGAGGTTTACTTAACCTGGGTTAACTTTGCAAGAGGGGGGGGCGGGCGGAGCCTTGCCCCGCACCCTCGAGTACGCCAGAGTACGCCACTACTCAAGTCGACTGGTCATCGATCCTGCAGCCTTCCTGTGGCTCAGTTGACGTTCAGTACCCCAGCGCCACAGAGGATGGAGGGAGAAGAAAGAGGAGGGGTTTGAGGAGAGGACGAGTAGGAGGAGGAGGAGAGGAGAAGGAGAAAGAAGGAAGTAGGAAAGGAGAAGGAGGGAAGAGCAGAGGGGCGGGGGGAGTTGGATGAGGAAATGAAGGAGGGGAGGGAGGTGGAGGATGCAAGCTAGGTGCGCTCGCGTCATATCTGACGTCCTACCCCTCCCTCCCACCCCGCACCATGGCGTAGATCTCCCCTCTATTTGTGCAATCAGATGTCGCAACTTGGCATATTATTACATGTCATAGCATGGTGTTGAAGATCAACGCGTAGCATGACATAGCATGACGTGGCGACGCCCCAAAGTGAGGGGGGCTTCTGCGGCTCAAAAAGGGGCGAATCGAAACCGAATGTGGAATCTCTTCCGATATTGTTTTCCGGAGGCCATGTTCTAGATTTCGGGGCCGATTTGGAAGGACGAGCAATCATGCCGTGACATGGCAATGGAAATTTCGACGCCAACGCTGCAGTGGGAACACGATTCGGGACGAGCGGTAGCGCGGAAATGAGGCCCTCATTGCAGCGGGAGCACGATTCGGATTAAGCGGTAGCCCGAAAATGAGGCCAGCGCTTCAGCGAGAGCAGCATTTTGTAAAAAAACGAGCGTGGAAAGCGCGGAAATGAGGACGCGTAGTTTGACATAGCATGGCGTGGCGACGCCCCAAAGTTGGGGGGGGCGGCTTCTGCGGCCAAAAACGAGATGAACCGACACCGAAAAGGTAACCACTTCTGATGTTTTTGTTCGGGGGGGCATTTTCTAGATTTGGGGGCCTGCTTGGAAGGACCGAAGACCATGCTGTGGCATGGCAATGGAAATAATGACGCCAGCGCTGCAGCGGGAGCACGATTGGGAACGAGCGGACGCGCGGAAATGAGGCAAGCGCTGCAGCGGGAGCACGATTCGGATTAAGCGGTAGCCCGAAAATGAGGCCAGCGCTTTAGTGAGAGCAGAATTTTGAAAAAAAGCGAGCGAAAACCCAATTCCCGGGAATCCTGCTTGTAAAGAAACCAGTACGCGGATGGGGGCCGTACATTTGACGGACGCCACCAGGGGAGGGAGAAGAGTAGTATTCATATTGTGTAGTTGTTCATGGTGGATATGAGAAGGATGAGGAGGAGGCGGATAAGGAGGAGGTAGAGGAGAAGGAGGGGGAGGACGAGGAGGAGGGGGGGGGGGGGAAGGAGGAGGAGGAGGAGGAGGAGGAGGAGGAGGAGGAGGAGCGGGGGAAGGCCATTCTGCAGCCGTCCATGGAGAAGGACGTCCTCAGGCACGAGATCTTCGGGCCCCTGCTGCCGGTCCTCGCAGGGGCGGGGTGGTCTGCCCTCATCTCGCTCCTTCCTCATCTGCCTCCGCACTTCTTCTCCGGTTCTTTCCTCCTCCTCCTCCTCCACTCCGTCGTCAGAAGGTCGGTATCCTCATCTCATGTCCGACGCTCGAGGACGGGAGAGCCCCCGAGCCCCGCCCAGCTCGACACAAGGACATCTGCGATACACTAGAGCGCGGCTCTTTCTCCTCCTCCTCATCCTCAATATTTCGCTTTTGCCTCCGCCGCAGTTCTTATACTTCTTCTTCTTCGCATTATTGTTATTATTAGTGTTAACAGCACTGTACTTATGATTAGTCCTATTATTGTTCTTGATACTGTTATGAACCAGATGTTTTCGTCGTCTTCTACTTCTTCTTCTTATTATTATTATTCTTCTCAGTCGCCGCACCTCTCCTCCTCCCTCGTCCTCCCCTCTCCTTCTGTTCCGTTCTCTCCCTGTTTCTCAGTCGGGGTAGGGAGGGAGGGCGGGAGGGAGGGGGAAGAAGACGGGCAGGGGGTGAGCCAAGCGGATGGGGGAGGACGAGCACGACGGTTCCAGGGATCTCTAGGTGTTGTCTTGGCTTCTGAGCTAATTGCTGACGCTTCGCGAATCTCCACCAGCCCATCCAGAGACGATGCCCAGCCGATCCAGAAACGATGCCCAGGGAAGTGGGCAGCACACAGAGGAAGCCATGATGAGACATCTTGGGATATATTGAGCCATCTTGGAGGTCATCTTGGGCTCTCCCAGGCGCTCTTGGAGTCATTTGAATCAGTGCCCCGCCCAAGAGGCCAGCATGTGGCTAAAACCTTCGTAAAATCAATGATTGGGCATTTTTGCTCAGGCCTCTTGGAGCATCTTGGGTGCCTCTGGGGGGTCTCTTGGGGCCTCTTGGGGGTCGCTTGGGAGCCTCTTGGGGGCATTCTGGGGGCCTCTTGGGGCTTCCTGGCCACCTCTTGGTACCCTCTTGGGGCACCCTTGGGAGCCTTGGGGGCCATCTTTTGGCCATCTTGGGTGAGATCGATCACAGGAGGGGGGGGGTACTAATTACAGCTCCCCCCTCAGGAGGTCAACATGGGGCCAAAACCGTAGTAAAACGAATGATTTTGGCTTCCTCGCCGAGGCCGTTTTGGACGCTCCGACGACTCGCAGAACCCCCCGTCCAGGTCCAGGGGAGGGGGTAGGGGGAGGGGTAAACCCTCCCCGAATGGGAAGAATGAGGGGTGGAAGAGGAAACGCCCTAAACCACCGACGCCCAGAGGACTTGTGGGATTATGGGTATCCCTCCTCCTACTCCTCGTCCACCTCTGCCTCCACCACGACATGAATCGGATCGGCGGAAATCGGCGGCCGAGTCGGCAGAAGTCGAATGGGCGGAAATCGGCAGCCTAGTATAAGCCTCCATGAAGAAGCCGGAGCCCAGATCGGAATCGGAAGCCGAATCACACCGGAAGCGGTATCGTCCTCCGTCCTCCACCGACGCTTCCACCTCTGCCGCATCCGCCCTTCCCCTCACAGTTCTTCTCTTGCGCCCTCCCTCTTCGTCCTGCTGCCTCGCCCCTCCTCCTCTTCCTCCTCCCCGCTGCTCCCGCTGCTCCTCCTCCCCCTTCTAGTTGGCGCACGCACCCGGGCCTGGCCGCCCAACGCAGATGCTGACAGAGGACTCAGCTTGCCCTCTTCTCGTTCTCCTTCTTGTCCGCCTGCCCTCTTCTCTTCGGGTCACGTGTGCTCCCCCCTTCTGCTTCGCTTCCTCCTCCTCCTCCTCCTTCTCCTCCGTCCCCTCCTCCTCCTCCTCCTCCTCCTTCTCCTCCCCTCCTCCTCCTCCTCCTCCTCCTCCTCCTCCTCCTCCTCCTCCTCCTCCTCCTCCTCCTCCTCCTCCTACGCCTCCTCCTACGCCTCCTCCTCCTCCTCCTCCGCCTTTTTCGCCATTCATGCCCCCCCCCTTCCTCTAGAGCTACAGTTGCTTCTCTTTCTCCGCCTCTTCCCTCCTCCTAGCTCCCCCTCCTCCACCCCACGACTCTGCCCCTTCTCCCGTCCACTCCCCTCGCTTCCCTCCGTGAGCTGCTCCATGCCCCTCCTTCCTCACCCACCGCTTCCCTCCGTTTCCTGCCCCTCCTCTCCATCACCACGCCATTTCCTGCGTCGCCGCTTTCCCCCAACCCCTCCTCCACTCCACTACCTCTCGCACCTGCCCCTTTCCCTGCATGCCCCCCTCTTCTCCAACGTCCACCCCTGCAACCCTGCTCCTTCCTGTCAACCCGCATAGCAAGGACGCGCAACGTTCCAAGGTTACCCTTACATCCTTCCCCTTCGGCCCATCCTTGGCCGCTTCCGCTGGCCGCGCTCCTCTCGCAAAGTGTCGACATGGCCTCCAAGGCCCTTGCATCCCAATGTGCGTCCTCACTGCGTGAAAGGTTGATTGTGCCGCGCCCTCCTCCGCCTGCCTCCCCCCAGCGACTCCCTGCTCCGCCCGCCTCCGCCCCGCCCCTCCGCGAGCCTCCCCCCGCCCTCCGCATGGGGGCGGGGGCGGACCCGAGGGCTGCACCCCGCCGGCGGCGAAGGCTGGCCGATTGTGGCCCCCGCAAGGTGCTGGTGGTCGATGGGGTGGGCGAGGCGATCGCGCACGTCAACGCGGCGGCGACGGGCAAGGCGCTGATCGCCTACTGCTACTCCGAGGACGAGGCGTCCGTGGAGCAGTTCCTGGCCTGCACCAGCTCGGGCCGGGAGGGCAAAACACTCTGGGCCTCTCGGACGGGGTCGGAGCAGTTGGGGTCGGAGGATCGCGCCGCATCGCCGCTGCATCAACGATGCATCGCCGATGCGGCTCGATGCGGAGCCCGATTGTATCCGCGCCGGAGTCACCGATGTACCGACGACGTCGACGACGCATCGCTGGTGCCTCGCCGATGCATCGCCGATACAACGCCGATTCATCGCCGAGGTATCGGCGATGCGGTGCGATCCCCCGACCCCATTTACTTCGACCCCATCAAGGAAGCTTTGAAGGGGCCCTGGGACACACAAATAAATACACACAAATAAAAATATCCTTCATATTTTCCAATATTTTCTGGGTTTCTGTCTTCCCGCCCGCTTCCCATATTTTCCCATATTTTCTGGGAAATCGAAGATTAATTGTGTCTGTGTGTTTCTTTTCCTCCTGAAGCTTGTAAACACGTATCGCGCCCACCTTGCCCTTCCCCCCCTGTTTTCCCGCCTTGTATGCGGTCGCCGACTAACGTGGGCAGTGGCAGTGAACGAGGGCGTATTTTGCACATCATCTCTGGAAGAGGGGGCGTGTCGTCAGAACCAGAAGAGCGGACTGATGCACCACACTACCCCCGCTGGTGGGAGAAAGGCTGGGCAGGAGAGCAAGACCGGGCAGCATCTATCGAACGAACCACTTCATCAAACAAAGACATCTGTGGTGATCGTTTTTTTCTTCATTGTTTTGCCGATCGGCGCGGGCCCCCCCCCCTCCCTCCCCCCGGAGTGGATCTTGACTGGTTTTTGGCGCCTGCTTCGAGCAGGCGGGGACTCCCCCAGAGGACGCACGGTTCCAACCAGCCGCATTCAGCAGAGGTCCGGAGCCAGACCCCCCCGCCTCCCCCCCCCTTCCACCCGATGTCGAAGCGCCGACTAAACAAAACGCTCACGTGTTCAGTGCGGGGCAGATGTCCCTCCGGACGGGAGCCTCCGCACTGCCACGGGCGGAGCGCTGCGATGCCGTGGGGGCCCCAGACGCCCGGGCGCCCTACAGATTATTGACGCCTCTGCGCTGGCCGCCGCCCTTTGGCTCGGGCATGGGCCCGGGAGCAAATCGTGTGGGCCCGGTAAGCCCCCCTCATCCCGTCGCTAGCGTCGACTATCGTCGACAAGCGTCCAGGAGTCGATGAGACAGCGCCGATTCAGCGTCGGTCAGCGTCGATTCAGCGTCGACTCAGCGTTGACTGGCGTCGACTAGCGTCTGTTCCGGGCACGATGATATGGAAGGCTCCCATGAGTTGCCACCGAAGGAGGGGCCCGGGTTTCCGGGCCGCTGATCTAGATTTCTGCAATGGAACCTATTTGTTCTGGACGCCCGAGATGGGCACGGAAAGAATGGGTACGATGCCCAACAGCATTTCTTGTTCATTCTGAACAGGACTCGCTGTCCACGCCGCCGCGGCCTGTGTCCGTTCGAGACAGAAGGCCGCCTGCCCAACAGCGGCCGCTGTTGGTTTGGGACAACATTTGTTGTTGGGCATTGTACCCATTCTTCCGGTACCCATTTGGGGTGTCCAAATTTGTGGCCCAGGCCGCCGTAGCCGGAAAGCCCATCCTGCCCGTGCGCGTCCTGTGGCAACACGATGGCCGTAAGTGGCTCCCGACCTCCATACCCGCCAGGCCTCACCATCCTCCAGATGTTTCCCAACCTTGCCCCCGCATGCCTCGCCCTCCTCCTCCTCCTCCTCCTCCTCCTCCTCCTCCTCCTCCTCCCCCTCCTCCTCCCTCCCCCGCCTCCTCCCCTAACCTCCCCCTCCTCCTCCCTCCTCCCCCTCCTCCTCCTCCCCCTCCTCCTCCTCCCCCTCCTCCCCCTCCTCCCCCTCCGCGTAGGAGTTGGAGCCCGCTGTCCTGCAGCCCCCCCCCCCTCCTCGGCCGGAGCGGCCTTCAAGGGCTGGCCCGCAGGGCGGCGGAGGTACACAGAAGTGCGGCGGGGGCCGGCCGCAGCGGCACACTGCCCCCGGTCCGGTCGGGTCTCTTAAGGGTCGGTCAACGACACCGCAACGGGTACTTACTAACGGGTGCTTTGCAATTTTGCAGAAAGTTGCCACTTTAGGGCCTCTTTCTGGCAATGCAGCGTTGCCCGCATCGGGAAGGGTTGGGTTCGCTGGGTCACTGGCCAAAGTACCCGTTAGTGGAGTCCCCGTTTGAGGGGCGCTGAGTCGGCGTTGGACCCTCGGGCCGGACGAGAGGGGGGGATTGGGAAAGGGGGGAGTACGGAATTCGCTGCCTCCGAGAGGGCCAGTCCTCGATACATAGCCGCCTCCGGCGCGGGGAGGCGCCGGGAACATCAGCTACGCGAGTTGATTCTCAAACCCCCCCCCTTGCTATCCCCCCCTTTCGCCCGACCCGAGACCCCCTTCCCTGGCGCGCGGAGCCCACCAGGGGCGACGCCAGAGGAGGCGGCAGCTGGTCCAGCGTCGAGCCAAGACACCCGTGCGGACTTCCGCAAGCGCATGCTTCTGCAGCGTGGCGGCGTGAGGGACAGGGGTGTCCCGCTGTGCCGTCTCTGAGCTGGTCGTCGCCTCACCCTCGGCCTCGTGCTCCTCCTCTCCCTCGTTCCCTCGCCGTCCTGTGAGGGGCGCGCGAGGTCAAGAGGGGGAGCGACCCCAACTCTGGCCCCGTGGGCAGCCAGAGAGGGGTGTCCCATGAGCCGTGCGTGGTCTTCGGGCTCCTCGCGGGCCCCGGGGCCCTCCCCGGGGGCCCGGGGCTGTGGGGCGACGCCTCGGGCAGAGGGGCTTGTCCCGGGGAAGGCCCTGGCGTCCAGGGCTCGCTGCCCTGAGGACCCCCACGTCTGATTGGCCCAGAAGGGGGTCCAGCTACAGGGGGGTGGCGCAATGATCTGTTGCAATCGGCCTGTGGGTCGCAATAGATGTGGGGCGCGCAGTAACTTCTGGGGCGCAGGCGTATTGCTGGACTTGCGCGTGCATTGCACTGGTTGCAGCACAATATGCGGTACAATCCTCTGGCGCGATACCTTTTTGCAATACAGGTGGCCTGATCTATTGCACCGCCCCCTGTTGAGCTGGACCCCCTTTCTGGGCCACCCAAACTCAGTAACTTGGCGCCCCGCAAGAGAGCACATCTGGGAATTCGGGCGTTGGGACAGGGAGACCAACAATGACATACACATGACAACTCTGAGGACCCGCGCGGGGTTCTCGGATCGGCGTTGGACCCCCCTCCTTGGCGCGCGGAGCGCGCCAGGGGCGACGCCGGAGGCGCCGCCAGGGGACTCCAGCGTCGATCCGAGTTGTTATGTTTATGTGATTGTTCGTTCCCCTATTTCGGGTTGACCCAAAAGGGGGTCCAGCGACAAGGGGGTGGTGCAATAGATTTGGTGCAACAGATTTGTGGGGAAGCACTACATCTGGGGCGTGCAAGACATGCCAGGGCGCAAATGTATTGCTGGATTTTCGTGTGCAATACACCAGTTGCAACACAACGCAGTACAAATCTCCGGCGCAGCACGTCTGCGGTACAATTGCCCCGCATCTATTGCACCGCCCCCTTGCAGCTGGGCCCCCTTTGGGTCGCCCAGACTATTGGAGCGGCCCAGCTCCGCATCCCCCCCCCTTCGAGCTTCGAGCGGCGGACCCGTTTCGAAGGCCTAGATGTTGACACCAACACCAATATCGGCGGTGTGCCTCCACCGGGGGAAGAGGATCCCGATCTCGGTGATGGTGGCAATATTCTGGCTTCCAAGGTGGCCGAAATATTACCACCAACACCGAAATCTGGGATCATCTTCCACCTGTGGGGGCAACCCCCTGTGTTGGTGTTGGTGCCCATTTCCAGGCCTCCAACCGTTGTCTCCCAGAGGCTGCGGCCCTCGAGCCCCCTCCCGGCGTTGCGAAGCGCGCCGGCGAGAGGAGCAGCAGCACCAGGAGGCAAGAGAGAAAGAGAAGGGACGAGCGAACGGCGGGACGGCCCAATCAGACCGAGGGGAGGGAGGAAAGGCGAGACCGTTGCATTCGCCTCCTCCTCCTCCTCCTCCTCCTCCTCCTCCTCCTCCTCCTCCTCCTCCTCCTCCTCCCCCTCCCCCTCCTCCTCCTCCCCCTCCTCCTCCTCCGTCTCCTCCCCGTCCTCCTCCTCCTCCTCCTCCTCCTCCTCCTCCTCCTCCTCCTCCTCCTCCCCCTTCTCCTCCTCCTCCTCCTCCGTCTCATCCCCGTCCTCCTCCTCCTTTCCGCTCCTCCTCCTCCTCCTCCCCGCCTCCTCTCCTTCTCCTCCTCGCGCTCCTCCGCTTCCTCCTCCTCCTCCTCCTCCTCCCCTCTCCTCTCCTCCTCCTCCTCCCTCCTCCTCCTCCTCCTCCCCTCCGCCTCCTCTCCTTACCTCCTCATCCTCCTCCTCCTCCTCCTCCTCCTCCTCCCCGTCCTCTCCTCCTCCTCCTCCTCCTCCTCGCATCCTCCTCCCCTCTCCTCTCCTCTCTCCTCCTCCTCCCTCCTCCCTCTCCTCCTCCTCCTCCTCCTCCCCTCCTCCTCCTCCTCATCCTCCTCCTCCTCCTCCTCTCCTCCTTTCCTCCTCCTCCTCTCCTCTCTCCTCCTCCTCATCCCGTCCTCCCCCTCCCTCCTCCTCCTCCTCATCCTCCCTCCTACTCCGCCTCCTCCTCTTCTCCTCCTCCGCCCTTCCGCCTTCCTCCTCCTCCTCCTCCTCCTCCTCTCCTCCTCCGCCTCCTCTCCTCCCCTCCCTCCTACCTTCCTTCCTCCTCCTCCTCCTCCTCCTCCTCCTCTCTCCTCCTCCCCTCCTCCTCCTCCTCCTCCTCCTCCTCCCCTCCTCCTCCTCCTCCTCCTCCTTCTCTTCCTTCTCCTCCTCCTCCTTCTCGTCCTCCTCCTCCTCCTCCGCTCTCTTTCTGCAGACGGCATCGCTACACCACCGCCACCTGGCCAGGGCCATCCCAGGCCTCAGGACAGTGTATGGGCTTGCCTGGCCTCGGCCAGGAGGTTGCTGTAAGAAAGGTCAGGGTCCAGGGTGGCCCTGGCCTCGCACGGTGGCGGTGTGGAGATGCCCTCCCGTCCCTGCCATGGGGAGTCGCGCGGGTGCTCTCCTTGTTGCCCCCCCATGCAGGCAACGTCTGCGTGAACGCGGGCTACCAGCGGATGCTCGGCAACTACCACGTCGGCTTCGGGGGTGTCGGCGGGTCGGGATGCGGCGTCTCCATGTGGGGCAAGGACGGGGGGGATGAATGCGGCAACTGATTTTACTTGGATCGGCAAATCGGACGCGCTACCGCCGTTGTCGCGCAACAGAGCAAGAGCATTTTACTAAAAGGATCGTTTCCTTTACCAAGTAGCTCCTCCAAGGTAATGGTGGGAATTTTCCGCTTCCAAGAATCAGTCCCTACTGTATCGCCGATCCACCGGCGCTGCAGTCATCATCCTCGGTGTCGGGGCGACACTCGGCCAGCCCCGTTCTTTGTTGGGTTCCCCTCATTGACAAGGGGCTCTCCAGAGGCTCCACGAGGCTCTCTGGAAGTTTCCGAGGTCCCCCCGCCGGGATGATGCCTCACCGTGCCATGGCCAGGCCTAACCTGGGCTTCAGGTCGGTAAACACAGCCAAGGCGCTGAACTAAGGACCGCTTTGGACTCGCAAGGGGCTCGCTGTTCCTCAGGTTATTTTGTTGGTTGTTCCTCCAGCCTTCCTCGTGCACCCAGCTTCTTTTGGTGCCGAAAGGGGTTTCGCTCATTATGCAGCGTCCCCTCTTGCAGCAGCTTGACTGCCTCCCCCCGCTGGCCAAGCCAGGAGGGCGCATAACAACGCCGATCCCCTGGCCCAGGCATTGGGCCCGGCCAGGCGCTGCGAGAGGTGGTCGGTGGGCGTTCCCCGACCCATGTAGCATGCCTGAACGCGTCCAGAGCAGCGCGGCAAAACAGCAAAATGCTCGTCGGGCGAGGAAAACGATGCACATACAGTGGAGACCCGTGCGAAGAAGCACCCTGCTTGCCTCCAGGGTACCCTGGGTTTCTTGGGTCTGGGCGGCTTTGCCACGGGAAGCGCCACGCCCCCACACCAAAATCAATGGACGTCTTGGGGCCTCAGGGTTGGGTTTCTTTGTGAGGTTGGACCTCTGCTGTATGCACACACACTTGCACACTGATCCTGGCCAGGCCCGGCCTGGGCCCAGGATCGGTGCATATTCTCCTCCCCGGCTCCAGGCCCACGGCCCCCCCCCCCCACATGGGACGGGTCCCAGGGTCCCTCGGGCCCCCACCCCCCTTTGATGGGACGGGGGGCGGGGCGACGACGACGACGACGACGATGACGACGACGACGGTGGCGGCGGCGACGACGCCTGCGGCGGCGACGACGACGGCGGCGACGACGACGACGACGACGGCGGCGACCACGACGACGACGGCGACGGCGGCGGCGACGACGACGACGACGGCGGCGACGACGACGACGACGACCTCCAGAGCTCTCCTGGAGCACCACAGTACCACGCCACACACGCCACACCCACAGCACCACGCCACACCAACAAGGAGGGAAGGGGCATCGGTCGGGCGGGGGGGGGGCCGATGGCATCAGCATGGAGGGGGAGGGGGGGGCGGGGCCCAGACCCTGGACCATACGCAACCCCCTGGCGAAGCCACGAAGTCGTATGCACCGATCCCGGGCTCAGGATGGGCCCGGCCAGAATCGGTGCATGTGCACAATTATTTCTCCTCCAGCCCTGCGCTCCCCCGCAAGGAGGCCCTGCGCGAGTTCTCCAACCGCAAGGTCGTCTGTCGCGCCAGGGGCGGCTTCGCCTCGTCGCTGATGGGCGGGCCCCCGCCCAAGGGCAAGGGCAAGGGCGAGGCCGGTGGGCGCTCGGAACCCGTGCGCGCGCTCCGCAGTTCCCCCGCACCCCACGGATCCGGCATCCCGGCAGAGGCAGGGCCCCGCTCGATCCGACGCGGCTGCCTCCCATATGGCCCCCTCGAGCCATGGAAACTACTCACGACGGGAGGCTCTTCGCGACTTTCGGCCCCTGGGGGCCCTGCCCGGCCCTCGGGACCGTCAAGAGCTGCTTCAGGGTGCAGCACATCGATCCCGGGGAGAGGGTCCGGACCTCTGGGGGTAAGTCGGGCACGTGCCTCCACAGGAGGAATGTTCAAACAGAAACAAAAGATAGTCTGGGGACGATGTTTCGCATATTATTTGACCATTTCGGAGTTTGTTTCTTAACATGTTTTAAAAACCGACAACACAGACCCGTACTTTCAATGTTTCGTCGAAAATCGGCCTGTAGGGGTCTAGGCCTCCAAGATGGGGTCGGAGTAGATGGGGTCGGAGGATCGCGCCGCATCGCCGATGCATCGCCGATGCGGCTCGATGTGCAGCCCGATTTGCGTCACGTCGACGTCGCCGAGGCATCGCCAACGTCGACGATGCATCGCCGGTGCATCGCCGATGCATCGCCGATGCATCGCCGATGCATCGCCGATGCATCGGCGATGCGGCGCGATCCTCCGACCCCATTTACTCCGACCCCATCTAGGAGGCCTCTAAGGGGGACATGCCCGACCTAAGTCTGGGGGCCGCGCCACGAAGACATCCTGGCGTCGGGGGTCTGGGCGCGCTGTCGATGGCGGCCGGCCGCTGGCCCGAGCCGACGCCTGCGCTCCGACGAGCTGCTGCGGCCCCCAGTCGTACGTGCTCGGGGTTTCGTTGATGGGCCCGTTGTCCACCACTACTAGCACAGGCAGGAGAGGGGAGGGGGAGGAGGAGGAGGAGGAGGAGGAGGAGGAGGAGGAGGAGGAAGGAGGAGGAGGAGGAGGAGGAGGAGGAGGGGAGGAGGAGGAGGAGGAAGGAGGAGGAGGAGGAGGCGGGGGAGGAGGAGAGGAGGGGAGGAGGAGGAGAGGAAGGAGGAGGAGCAGGAACAGGAGGAGAGGAGGAGGAGGAGGAGGAGGAGGAGGAGGAGGAGCAGGAAGGAGGAGGAGGAGGAGAGGAGGAGGAGGAGGAGGAGGGGGAGGAGGAGAAGAGGAGGAGGGGAGGGAGGAGGAGGAGGAGGAGGGAAAGGAGGAGGAGCAGGAGGAGGAGGAGGAGGAGGAGGAGGAGGAGGAGGAGGAGGAGGGTGTTGGAGGACGAGGAGGAGGGAGAGGAGCAGGAGGAGGGAGGGGAGGAGGAGGACGAGGAAGACGAGGAGGAGGAGGAGGAGGAGGAGGAGGGAGGAGGAGGAGGAGGAGGAGGAGGAGAGGGAGGAGGTCCTCATCCTCCCGTCTCCTCCGCCCTACCTACCTACGGTAGTGGTGCTGGAACATCTCTGCCCATCTTTTGTCGTGCATCCCTGCGCGGCCGATCCGATTCTATCCCGGCTCCATGCCGATGCAGCCCGATCCGACGCGCGTTCCGATCCGAGCTCAACTTCATGCTGACTGGTCCTGCTTCCTATTCCTCCTCCTCCTCCTCCTCCTCCTCCGTCCATCGCCACCGCCTGGGGGATCCATCATCGGGGACCTCGGGAGGCGGCGGGTACATAGATATACGCGAGCTTTGGGGAGACAGCTAGAATTATCCACACATGCACACCGCCTGCTGAGGTCCCCGACGATCGACCCCACAGGCGGCTGTGATGCATAGGTCCCTCCTCGCAGCCTCACCCACCCCAGCGCTCGTTTCGATTCCTCCGATTCGACTCGATTTCGATGGCTTCCGAGTCCGCTTGGATTCGACTTGATTCCCATGTGGGTTCCGATTTCTTGCAGGAGGTATACTAGCTCGCCGATTTCCGCCGATTCGCCTTTTCCCTACTCGGCTGCCGATTTCCTCCGATCCGATTCATCTCGGCCGCCGATCCGAGTTCTCGATTCGATTCTAGGCTCTCCTGCCACCCTCCCAATCGCCCATTCATCGCCGATCGGGGCCTGATGGCCCACCCCGGCCAGGTTTTTTTGGTCTCGCCATCGGATGCTTATCACCGATGGATCGGCGATGTAAGTCCAGATCGATGTTCCCCTCCTTCAAGCTGGTCCCCCCTTCCCGTTCCCCTTCTACTATCTCTCCTGCTCCTCCTCCCCCTCCTCCTCCTCATCCCCATCTTAGCTGGTGGACGCGCCTCTTGGTTGCGTGCATGCATCGAAGAAGACACAGCGCCATAAGCATATAAACTGTTCGCGCTCCGCACGGATTTCTTGGATCCGTGCTGGGCACCCCCGGCGGCGCCTCCGGCGCCGCCCCCGGCGCGCTCCGCTCCCCCGACTTTCCTCTCCTCCTCTTCCTTTTCCACCACACCTCCACCTCCTCCTCCTTCCTCCTCCTCCTCCCTCCGCCTCCTCATCCTCCTCCTCCTGTTCCACCTCCTCCTCCTCCTCCTCCTCCTCCTCCTCTCCTCCTCCCTCCTCCTCCTCCCCCTCTTCCTCCACACCCCCTCTTCCTCCCCCACCCCCCCTCTGCCCCCAAAGGGCAAGGGCGAGGAGGCGCCGACGAGCTCCGGCGCCACCGGCGGCGGCGGCGGGGAGGTGCAGAAGGCCTTCGCCGGCGGGAGCGGCAAGGGCAAGGGCAAGGCGGACGACGGGCCCCCCAGCGGCAGCCGATCGTTGGAGCGAGGAGGAGGCAGGATCTGAGGGCGAGGAGGGTCTCCTCGTGGAGGCAGGATCTGAGGGCGAGGAGGGTCTCCTCCTCCTCCTCCTCCTCCTCCTCCTCCTCCTCCTCCTCCTCCTCCTCGTGGAGGCAGGATCTCCTCCTCCTCCTCCTCCTGATGGCGAGGAGGGTCTCCTCCGCCCTCGTCTGAGGGCGAGGAGGGTCTCCTCCTCCTCCTCCTCCTCCTCCTCCTCCTCCTCCTCCTCCTCCTCCTCCTCGTGGAGGCAGGATCTGAGGGCGAGGAGGGTCTCCTCGTAGTCTGTGCCTTCGACGCCGCTCGACTGCAATTGGCGCTTCCATCTGCGGTCCGCGCTGGAGGGCCCTGCGAAGTTCTGGCGAGAGAGTTCCTCCGGGCGTCACAGGGAGGACCCTCCGAAGTTCTGGCGAGAGTGCTCCTCCAGGCGTCGCGAATAGTCACGAGAGCCAGCTGCCCTTGCGCAGGCCTGCGCCTCTGGAGGCCCTGACCCTGGGGCTGCAATACATGTCCTCGGGCGAAACGTCGCCCCGAGGAGAAAATCGGTCGAGAACGCAAGGGGGAACACTTCACGAGCAAGCGCGACGTCATTAGAAGGCTTGGAGGGCCAGTTGGGGCATCTGCGGCCCTGCTGCCTCCTCCCTGTTCCTACTCATCCCATGTCCTCTCCCCATCACCCTCCTCATCGCCCTCTCCCCTCACTCCTCCTTTCTCATCCCTGGTCCGCTTCATCCCATGTCCCCATCTCCCTATGTGTTTTTTCACTCACACACACACAAACGTACCACGCACTACAGAGGCAGAGACGTAAGAGGGAAATGGCTGATCTCTCTCTCTCTCTCTCTCTTTCTCTCCCTCTCTATCTCTGTCTCTCTCTCTCTGTTGTTCTCTCTCCTTGTGTCTCTCTTTCTGTATCTCTCTTTTTTCCCAACCATCCTGTGGTGTTGTGTCCTCGTTTTGAAGAGACAGTGCCCCGCGTTCCTTTCCTCTCGTCCTCCCCCTCCTCCTCCTCCCTCCTCCCATCCCTGCCCCCCCCCGCCCAACGCAGCGCTTCGTGGCCCCATAGGGAGCCCCACCGAAGGTCCCAGTGGCGCGGTTCGCATGCGTTTCCTGCGTCCAATACAGCGCTTCGTGGCCCCATTGTGAGCTCCACGGAAGGTCCCAGTGGCACCACTCGCATGCGGTTCCTGCGCCCGCCCACTCCAGCGTTTAGTGGCCCCATAGGGAGCCCCACCGAAGGTCCCAGTGGCACAGTTCGCGTGCGGTTCCTGCGCACAGTCCAGCGCTTCGTGGCCCCATCGTGAACTCCACCGAAGGCCCCAGGGGGGAGGAATTCGCATGCGGTCCCTGCGCCCAGTACAGCGCTTCGTGGCCACATCGTGAACCCCACCGAAGATCCCACTGGTGCAATTCGCATGCGGTCCCTGCGCCCAGTCCAACCTTTCGTGGCCCCATAGGGGATCTCCACCAGAGGTCCCAGTGGCGCGGTTCGCATGCGGTTCCTGCGCCCACTCCAGCGTTCCGTGGCCCCATAGTGAACTCCACCGAAGGTCCCACTTGCACAGTACGAATGCGGCTTCTGTTGCCCATTACCGCACTTCATGGTCCCATAGGGAGCCCCACCGAAGGTTCCATTCCTGCGCCCAGTGCGACGCTTCGTGGCCACATAGTGAGCTTTCACCGAAGGTTCCAGTGGCGCAGTTCGCATGCGTTTCCTGCGCCCAGTACAGCGCTTCCTGGCCCCATCGGAAGCCACACCGAAGGTCCAAGTGGCGCAGTTCGCATGCGGTTCCTGCGCCCAGTACAGCCCTTCGTGCCCACATAGGGAGCTCCACCGAAGGTCCCAGTGGCGCAGTTCGCATGCGGTCCCTGCGCCTAGTACAACGCTTCCTGGCCCCATAGGGAACTCCCCCGAAAGTTCCAGTTGCGCAGTTCGCATGTGTTTCCTGCCCCCAGTACCGCGCTTCGTGGTCCCATAAGGAGCTCCACCGAAGGTCCCAGTGGCGCAGTTCGTGTGCGGTTCCTGCGCCCAGCACAGCGCTTCCTGGCCCCATAGAGAGCTCCACCGAAGGTCCCAGTGGCGCAACTCGCATGCGGTTCCTGCGCCCACTCCAGCGTTCCGTGGCCTCATACGGAGCTCCACCGAAGGTCTCAGTTGCGCAGCTCGCGTGCGGTTCCTGCCCCCAGTACCGCGCTTCGTGGTCCCATAAGGAGCTTCACCGAAGGTCCCAGTGGCGCAGTTCGCATGCGGTTCCTGCTCTCAGTACAGCGCTTCGTGGCCCAATAGTCCCAGTGGCGCAGTTCGCATGCGTTTCTCGCTGCCAGTCCAGCTTATCGTGGCGCCCTAGGGATCTCCACCGAAGGTCCCAGTGGCTCAGTTCCAATGCGGTTCCTGCGCCCAGTCCAGCGTCTCGTGTCCTCATAGGGGGCTCCACCGAAGGTCCCAATGGAGGAATTCGCATGCGGTTCCCCGGCCCAGTACAGCGCCTCGTGGCTCCAGAGGGAGCTCTACGAAAGACGATACCCACAATTGCGGTTTTCACAACTGCATATGGGTGGCTTCTTCGCCAGACTAGTGTTTCTCTCTCTCTCTCTCTCCCCCTCTCTTTCTGTCCCTTTGTTTTTTTGTTTCTCGATTCCTGTTTCTCTTTTATTTTATTTTCTCTCTCTCTCTCTCTCTCCCCTTCTCTCCCTCCAACACTCTTTCTCATTAGCATTATACATATATATATATATATATATATATGTAGATTTCCCTCTCTCCCTCTCTCTGTATTCGTCTGGCTCTCTCGTTCTCTATCCCTCTCCCTCCCTATAGATATCACGTTCTTCTTGCAGCACGGAGGATCCCCTCAGTACGGGTCCCTGTTATAAGGATTCCGTCTATTATTTCCTGTTTTGTAAGGATTCTTCAATAGCGGTGCCTTCAGCGAGAGCACGTCGCCCTTTCGTACAGAGTCCGTCGAGAGGAGGAGCTAGGAGGACCGCCTGAGTGCCCCCTTCACACAGCCCACAACACTGGCGGGGCAAGTGGCAAGAAGAAGTGGTTGCTCTCTCTCTCTCTCTCTGTATCTCCCTCCCCGACCTCACATTTTCCGCCGCACCCCACGACTGGCACCCCACATGGGACCATATGCGATCTCTTCCGCTGGGGCCGTTGCTGGAGGTCCGAAGTAAGGATGCTTGTAGCCGGCGGCCCATACTACGCATGTAGCGAGGGGCCCTAAGTAAGGCTTTCTTTAGTGAGTATCCACCAGGGAACGAAGCATGGCATAAACATGTTCACTCGGAGGTCCGCGCGGATTTCTCGGATCCGCGCGGGACCCCCCTGGCGGCGTCGGTTCTGGCGCCGCCACTGGCGCGCTCCGCGCGCCAGGGCCCGGCGCCGATCTGAGAAATCCGCGCGGACCTCGGAGTTGTGATGTTCACGTCATTCTGCGCTCCCCTAATTCATTCGCAAGGATCAGGAGGGAAAGAAACACACAGACACAATTAATCGTCGACCCCCCAGAAAATATGGGAAAATATGGGAAGTGGGGGGGAAGACAGAAACCCAGAAAATATGGGAAAATATGGGGGATATTGTTATTTGTGTGTATTTATTTGTGTGTCCCAGTTCCCCTTCAAATTCATTCGCAAGGATGCCTGTAAGCTGATGGCCGTCGGCCCATTCCGCCACCCTGCCCAGGTCGTGGTTCATCGGCCTCTGGCATGTTCGTTGGCATGTCGCGGGAGGCCTCTCGGAGGCTGCTTGGGGGCCGTTTGGAAGCTTCGGGGGGGAGCTGTTTGATGGCGTTTTGGGGGCGTCTTCGGGGCCTCCCAGGGGCCTCCTGGAGGCCTCTTGGGGCGGAAGACTTGGATGTTCGGTTCGTGCCCCCGTGTTTGCCACATGGGGCGCCTCTGGAGCCGTTTTTGAACCTTCTTGGGCCGTGTTGGGGCCCTCTTGAGGGCCTCTTGGGCAGTCTTGGGGCGGTCCTGGGGGCCTCTTGGGCAGTCTTGGAGCGTCAGGAGCTCGAAAACTCGAGAACACCAAAATCATTGAAGGACCTGTTGAAAATCATTGACGTTGATCTTTCGGGGCCCTCTTGGGAAGGCTCTTGGGGCGTCTTGGAGGCCTCTTGGGCCGTCTTGGGACCATCTTGGGCATCTTGGTACGATCGTTCGGCGACTCGGGACCATCCTTGGACCGTCTTGGGAGCGTTTTGGGGCCTTCTTGGCCCGTCTTGGGCCCCCCTTGGGCCTGAACAGGTCATGCGGCAAGACGCGAGCAGCCCCGAAGCCCCGGAAGAGTTGGAACTTTGGGCTCCAGCCCCCTGAAGACTCGCCAGGAGTGCCTACAGTCGGCCCGGAGTAGTAGGTCGACCCTGCCAAGTCAAGGGCACCCTTGTGTCCTGTGCCTCGCGACCCATGCTCCCTACATTCCTGCGGCAATGTGGCCCTCGGAAGGGTCTTTTGTCCTCTCGCGTGCCCTCTCCAATGTCCGACAGTAAGGGATTAGACAAAGAAAGGATTTGAGGTGGGGCCCATTGCGTGCCCAGCGGCACGGCGGCGGCCCCAGAGACCCAGCGTAGGGATCCCTTTTTTGTGAGACGCCCTTCGTTCGGATGCCTTTTTGGCACGCATTCGTCGGTGAGGATGCCTTTTGCCAGGCATCCCTTGGTACGAAAGAGCGTGTTCTACCGCTGCTGGCGGAAAACCGGGGGGGGTCACTACCGGTTCGAACCCCTCCCCCCCTCCCCCCCCTCTCCGGAAAACCGGGGGGGGTCACTACCGGTTCGAACCCCTCCCCCCCCGCCCCAGTTCATCATGAAAAGGGGGGGGGGTTCACTACCGGTTCGAACCCCTCCCGCCCCCCCGAACTCGAAAACCGGGGGGGGTCACTACCGGTTCGAACCCCCCCCCCTTCGAAAACCGAGGGGGGGGGCGGACAGTGGTGGGGACGGTGGTGGTGGGGACAGTGGTGAAGGGACAGCGGGACAGCGGTGGGGACAGTGGGACAGTGGTGGGGACGGTCGTGGTGGGGACAATGGTGAGGACAATGGTGGGAACAGTGGGGACAGTGGGGACAGTGGTGGGGACGGTGGTGGGGACAGTGGTGTGGGGACAGTGGGGATGTGGTGGAAACAGTAGGACAGTGGAGGGTACAGTGGTGGTGGGGACAGTGGTGAAGGCGGTGGCGAAGACGGAGGTGGGACAATGGGACAGAGGTACAGTGGGGACAGTGGTGGGGACAGTGGGGACAGTGGTGGGAACAGTGGGACAGCTCAGTGGGACAGCGGAGGAGTCAGTGGGACAGTGGGGACAGTCGGGCAGTGGTTGGGGCCGTGGAGAAAGTTGGGAGAGTGGAACCGTGGTGGGAACAGTGGTGGGGACAGTGGGGACAGTGCGACAGTGGTGGTGGCACTGGTGGGGACAGTAGGGGCGGTGGTGGAACCAGTGGGGACAGTGGTGGTGAGGACAGTGGTGCTGGGAACAACAGTGGGGGATGTGGTGAGGCGGTGGTAGGGACCGGGAGTCGTTTGCTGGCGGTGAGGGGGGGGGGGAGGGGTTCGAACCGGTAGTGACCCCCCCCTCCGTTTTCGAGGGGTGGGGGGGGGGTCGAACAAGTAGTGACCCCCGCCTGGTTTTCGAGGGGGAGGGGGGGGGGAGGGTTTAGAGGAGGGGTGGGGGTTGCCGGGGGGGCGGGGGGGAGGGGGGGGGGGAGGGGGGAGGGGTTCCAGCAGGGAGGAGGAGGGGGGAAGATTTCGGAGGGGGGGGGGGGGGGACCTCCGGGTTCCGGAGGAAAAGGGCGGCAATTTTCCACAGTAAGGCGGTGGATCACGCTCTCTCCTTGGTACGGATCCCTTGATTACGGACTCCTCAGCGGGGGCGCCTTTCGTAAGGACCCCCTCCGTAAGGATGTCCCCAGTCAAGGATCAGTACTCCTGCTGCCTCGAATGACTCGGGCCGAGAAACATCCAGGCCGACATGTGGAGCAGAGTTTGACCCAGAACACGCTGCCCCCTATCAAACCTTGCCCCCCACCCCAAAAGAAAAGGCAGAGTTTGACCCAGAACACGCTGCCCCCATTCAAACCTTGGTGCCAGAAGGGTCAGCCGTGAGAATCGAGGGCCTCGTGTCGGCCAAACTCCCCGTCCATGGCCAGTGAGGATACTTGTAGGAAGGATCCCACCAGTGATAATCTCTGCGGTGAGGGCTCCCTGTTACGACTTCCTCCGTGATGACTTTCGATGGCCTCGTGTCGGCCACACTCCCCATCCATGGCCAGTCAGGATACCCGTAGGAAGGATCCACCAGTAATACTCTCTGCGGTGAGGACTCCTTGTCACGACTTCCTCTCGTGATGACTCTCTGCAGCAGGGATGCCGAGATGCTGGGTGTGTTCATTCGTAAAGTTGCCTTTTTTGCGAATGGGCCCTTATTCAGGGTTCCCTTACTTTGGGATGTCTTGTTGTGGGCGCCTGTGCTCCGCATTTGTACGGAATGATGCCATGCCTTTACCACGTGACCTCTGAGTTTCAGGGTACCTTTGGTGAGGAGTGTGGTAGGGATGATGCTTGTAGTAATGGTCTCCTCGATACGGATCTCTTCTCCCTTGTCATGACTCATTACTCTCATGACTCACGCTTCTTGTAGTAGATATTCCTTGGTAAGGATGCCCGTGATAAGGGACCATTCGTAGCGATGTGCTTGGTACTTCCCTCTTAGTGCGGATGCCTGTAGCAAAGGCCCCTTCGGTACCTACCCCTGCATCAAGGACTTTTCGGCAATCCCTTTAGTAAGGGCCAATTTCAGGGGATGCCTTCAGCAAGGGATCCTGGGTAGGGGAAGGGGAATGAGCAGGAGGATGAGGAGGAGGAGGAGGAGGAGGAGGAGGAGGAGGAGGAGGAGGAGGAGAGAGGAGGAGGAGAAGGGGGAAGGACGGCGATCACCAAGGAACGTGCGGGAGGACGAGGAGAAGGTGCTGGAGAAGGAGGAGGAGGAGGAGGAGACAATGGCAGCAGTGGCAGCCGGTGACGCCGAGAGAGGAGGGCCGCGGATCGATCGCTGCGCCGGCCGCGGCCGCGGCTGCCGATCGATCGCGCCCTCGCCGGGATCGGCCCGGCAGGGGACCCGGCCGCGGGGGCTCGAGCGTTGCGCAGTGGGGGGGCGGGGTACATTCAGGCGGTCGCAAACATGGATCAAGGGGGCGGCAAAGAGGGGGGTGATGACTATCAGGAGGGGAAAAAACACACAGACACAATTAATCGGCGATTCCAAGAATATGTGGGAAAATATGGGAAGTGGGGGGGAAGACAAAAACCTAGAAAATATGAGAAAATATGGGGGTATTTTTATTTGTGTGTATTTATTTGTGTGTCCCAGTTCCCCTTCAGACTAGGGGGGTGGATGCCATGGCGTGGGCCATGATAGTTCCCCAGATATCATGGCGCCTCTTCTTATTTCAATGCGTCCCTGGCCCCCCCGCTTGGCCGCGCACATGCCGTCGGCCATGATTTGCACCCCCCCTCTTGGACACCCCCCTCTTGGCCGCTCCCGAATGGATCAAGGGGGCGTGGATAAGCGACGGGTCCCGTTTCCATGGGAGATCGCGGATTTCCGCCGCCGAGCGAGGCGGCACTGGCCGCACGTTGGGGAGGGCAACTCCCCCGATCCGCACGTTGGGGAGGGGTAATCCATGTTTGCGCGCCCCCGAGTAGTGGGAGGGGGGGGGGGGGGGGGCGATACATGGAGGGGCGGAGAAAGAGGTGCACCTCTCGAGCCCCAAAGGTGCCCCAAAGGACCCCCCCTGGGGCCCCAGAGGTGCACGACAGGTGAACAGTCCTCCCCCTCCCCCATCCCCAGACATCCGATGGCTTGGGTTCCTCAACGCGCGGTCCTGGGAAGTCCCGACCCTTTCCCCAGGGCGGGCTCTTCATCCCGAGTCGTTCTCTGACGGTCCCGAGGCCCGGCGAGGGCCCCCAGGGGCCGACAATTGAAAACAAACGAAAAAAAGTCTCGAGCTTCCCTCCCCCCTCCCCCCTCCCCCCACCCCCCTCTGCGCGCGGCTGGAATTGTAGGCCTGTTTTCCACCACCACCATCGTAAGTTCGAGGGGGAGGCGGAGGAGGAGGAGGAGGGGGAGGAGGAGGAGGAGGAGGCGGAGGAGGAGGAGGAGGAGGAAGAGGAGGAGGAGGAGGAGGAGGAGGAGGAGGAGGAGGAGGAGGAGGAGGAGGGGGGGCCTCTGGCGCGATTCCGTGCTGGACGGCCGAGGACAAGCCCCCGCTGGAGGGCGCCCTGGCCGCTCTGACCGAAACGGAGGCCTTCCAGCAGAGCTTCGGCGGGGTCCTCGAGGCCGCCTCCCCCGCGGAGAGGAGCCCTCTCGCCGCGCCGGAAGCTCGGGCAGGGGCGGACCCCTGGACGGAAGTGTGGAGAGGGGTGGTCGAATTTTGTGGGGCCCCAAACCCGGATAGCAGGGCGCCAGAAGGGCAGCGTGCGAAGGGCGAAGGCCTGTCGAAGAACTCTGGAAGGACAGGGAGAGCGCCTCCGAAGGACCTTCTGGAGAGCTCTCGGGGTACACGTATCGGGAGACGCTTAGGAAAGGCCTGCTGGCACACGCTGCAAGGTCACAGGAGGCGCTGCCACGCTGGAAACCGGACACCGGAACGACCTCTGGGGCTGCCCTGCGGCTCCGGCTTCTTACTCTGAAACCCTCTCTTAGCTCCCCAAGGAGCTATCAGGGAATCTGGACGCAGTCTGCTCGAGACCACGCTCATGCCACAGGGCCGCGGGGGTCCACGGAGGCTCCCGCGCGGGCTCGCCCAGCCCCCCTGCCGGCCCCGAGCCCCCCCCTCTCGCGGCGCGCTCCCCCGCCGCCCTCGCCCCGCCGCCGGGGGGCGCAGGCGGGCTGTCCCCCGTGCGGCAGGTGCCCACGGGAGGGCTTCTGGGCGGGGCGCGACCAAGAAGCTGTTCGGGCCACCTCGTGGATCGTTTTCTTGGCGGCGCGCAGAGGGGGGCAATTAGAGGGAGGGGGGAAGGCTTCTTCGAAGGAGGCTGCTTCTTGGAAGGCGCCGGCCTCACATTTGTAGACAGGGCCCGCGCCTTCTAAGAAGCAGGGGTGCTTCTAAGAAGCCTTCCTCCCTCCCCCTACCCCCCTCTGCGCGCCGCCAATTTTCGCTGTGTCCTCTTCGTTTTCGTTTTGTTGTCCGTCTGCGGCCCGCCACTGGCCAGTCACGACCTCGGACGTCCGCCGAGACGCGTTTTTAAGGCCATCGGCAGAAGCGTTTTCATTCTACAAGGCCTCCAACGGACAACGAGCTGAAATCTCGAGCGCTGTTTTGGTCGACCCCTGCTTCTGGAGGAAGGCCGACCGTCGCATCTCTTGGTTGGGTGTGCTATGCGCGAAAGCCAGTTTATGAATTAGAAGTCGTTGTCTTCCCTGGGCGCTAGAAGGCGCCAGTAGACGCTGCAAGGCGCTCAGAATCGCGAATGGGGACATTGACCGACACCTACGTACAGGCGCTAGTTAGGCGGAGCCTGTCTTATCTCCATTTCCACAGGCAGTTTACAAAGTCTCGGCCTGACGCGATTCTCGCACCCGATCAGGGTCCTAAGGAGAAATGGCAGCATAACCATAAACTGCCGGAGCCCCGCGCGCATCTCTTGCATCAGAACTGTGGCCCCCTCCGGCGGCGCCTCTGGCTCTGCCCCTCGCGCCAGGGAAGGGGGGGGAGGGCAATGCAGATCCAGGAAGTCCGCGCCGCGGAGCTCCGAAAGTTTCTCTTTACGCAATCGCTTCTTCCTGTGGGTTTGGCTCGAGTCCCCCAGTCGATCGGGGTCCTCTTGACAAGGGGTCCTGGGTAGGTTGTTCGCAGCTTCCTGCTTGCCGGGGCCCTCCATGGGCCTCGGGGCCGTCAAGACATTGTCCCCGGGAGCCGCCAGAAGCCGTTTCTGCCAGGACCCGCGTCTTGATGCCGAAGTCCACGGGGCCTTCACAGTCAGATTCACTCTCGGGATGCGCCTGCTCCCTTCAGGCACTAGTTCGGACCTCTAGACGGCGCCCACGCAGACAAGTCGCTTGAGGAATGCCTCACCGGCTCGTCAGACATTGAGTCGCATCTGCAGTGTGCCAGTGCAGTCCCGTCGGTTTCGCTACTGCTCGACGTGTGCTTCCCTGTGTGCGCTGGGTAGCCCTTGGACGTCGGGTGGATCTTCCGCCCGGGTGCGCTCGGACCGCGGCGCCGCGCGGGCTCCCGCGGAGTGCGCCCCTGGCAGCCTCCACGAACGGGAGTGCTGCTCCAGGGGGTCCTGCCAACCCTCACCCGTGGCGCCCTTGCCTCGTCAATCCGTCCTGGGCTCTCCCTGGCCCGGCGCGAGAAAAGAGCGCGCCGGGGACGGCGCCGGGGGCGGCGCCCGGGGGCGGCGCCCGTGGCAGCGCCTGGAGGGGTCCGTCGCTGGCGGAACCTCTGGCTGTTTATACCCACGTTGACACGCAATGCGTCCTGGGGCAGCCCGCGGGTCGCTCTCGTGGGTGGGTATTTTGCCAAAGGGCGTTCCGCACGCCAGGCACTCCGCCTTTCGGTTGCCCTGATTAGCCACGTGCCGGAGCGGACTGTCTCTGCCTCGCCGCGGACGGAAAACAGTTGTGCTGAAAGGGTCATGTCCATCCCCGAATTTGAATTTCCGTGGGGCTGGCTGGATCGAAAAGACAGCGCCGAGTCGCCAGAGCCGTCAGGTTGCAGCCTGCAGTTTTTGGGGGGTGAGGGCATTTTGCTACCAGTTCTAGGCCGCTGGGTACGTGGATAGCAATATCATTTGCTTGCAGTGAGGCCACTGCGGGTAAATATATGGTGCTAGCGGTTGCAGGCCAGGGGGATGGGCACGTTTTGTTGGCAGTTTAAAGCCAAGGGGTGATGGTTTGCTGACAGTTCGAGGCCAGCGGGTGAAGATATATTGTTTAATGATAGTTGTAGATGAGGGATGAGGGTATGTTGTTGGCAGTTTCAGGTCAGGTGATGATGATATGATGGTGGCCGTTTCATGCCAATTGGCTTCTGTTGTTGCAATTGTGAGACCAGGGTTGGTTACACATTGCTGGCGATCTGACGCCACATGGGGTATAGAGCGTTTGCTAGCATATGTTGGCCAGGAGGTGACGGTACTTTCTTAGAAGTTCTTGGTCAGGGGATAACGATATTCAGCCGGTAATTTCACGCTAGGGATGTCAGGATGTATTGTTGGTAGTGGTTGGGCCGGGGTGGGGGGATATTTTCAGTTTTGATACATGGCGGAGATACTGGCAGTTCTACGCCAGGGGGGCATGTCGTGCTAGTATTTGTTCGAGCCAGGAGGTGATTTCCCAACCCGATATTTCGAAGAAGAAAACCACCATGAACATAAACTTTTGGCGCTCCGCGCGGATTTCGTGGATCCGCGCTGGCCCCCCAGGCGGTTCCTCCAGCGCCGCCCCAGGCGCGTGCCGCGCGCCAGGGAGGGGAGACCCAGCGCGGATCCAAGAAATCCGCGCGGACCTCCGACAGTTTCTGCTTATGCTGTGGTTTCTTCCTCTACTGCTGTGTGTTGATTTGAGGCTCTTGGCCCCATGATGCTTACCATCTGCTGTGCTCGGTGCTCGGGCGACGGTCAAGGGCCCCGCGCGCTTTGGAGCAGTCGTATCGACCCCACGCTGTTTTCGGTGGAGTCACACAGACTCCACTCTCTTGCGACCGGTCATGATACATTGTGCAGACGATCGGTTCCTCCACCCGCCATGCCACCGAACTTGCACCGGCCGGCACCCTTTTTATATTTCACGTATTCCACCCAGTACACACCGATTTCCGCACCGCCGTCGATATCATTTGGACCGATCGCCCATGCTGTGTTCGATTGTGTGCAGATTTGGGATTTTCGCCGACGTGGCCCGACCGAGTCGTCCCCCTGGCGTGGGGCAAGCCTTGGGCCTTGGGGGCCAATGGCGAGCTGCCCGGTACTCAGACCTCCAGCATGTTGAAAAAATCAACGCGGAGGTGTTGCTCAATTTTCGGCCTCCTAGGGCCCTCGCCAGGCCTTGGGACCGTCGAAAACTACTCGGTATGAAAAGTCGGCCCTGGGTAAAGGATCGGGACTTCCGCTTATTGAAAAAACAAGACACCGCATGTCTGGGTGATGCGATCGCACTTTCTGCCAAGGTCTTCGCCTTCCGCTCCCCTCGCCTTCGGCGGGAGCCGGCGGGAGGCCCGCGGAAGTTGGCTGAAGCAAGAAGGCGGCGGGTCTGCCGGCGGCATGCCGGCGGACGGCGGTTGAAGCAAAAGTAAGACGTTCGCATCTGGGGATTCAGGGTTTCCTGATTCGGCCGTATATCTCGTTGGCCTCGCGAGGAAGCTGATGGCCGTTCGGGCCATGCTGCCCTATGCGCGGAAGCAGGTGAAGACGCAGGCGGGGGCCACCGCAGCCAAGAGGGCCGGCATCCTGAACGGCTACCGCGACTTCGCGGAGAAGAGGGGCATCTCCTGGCGTGCGCATGCGAAGGAGCTTGAGGACCGCGGCATGGACACCTGGAAGGCGGAGCTCGAGCAGGTCACGGACAAGGCCCTTGTAGGTGGGAAACAGATCCGCACAGCCGGTTCTCAGTACGTGGTACCTTGGTGTCTTGCCTATCGCGATTGTGCCAACTCGATGAAAAAAAAAAACGCCATAGCATGCATTGTTGGCGCCCCGCGCGGATTTTTGGGGATCCGCGCTGGGCCCCCCCCCTGCCCCCCTGGCGGCGCCTCTGGCGCCGCCCCTGGTGCGCTCCGCGCGCCAGGGAAGGGGGTCCAGCGCAGATCCAAGACATCCGCGCGGAGCGCCAAACGTTTCTGTTTAGGCAGTTTTGTTCTTCTTCTACGAGGAGGAGGAGGAGGAGGAGGAGGAGGAGGAGGAGGAGGAGGAGGAGGAGGAGGAGGAGGAGGAGGAGGAGGGGTCCGTAGCCATTTGGCTCAAGCCGTTGCCTGGGGCCTTCGCCTTCCCTGGGGTTGGGGCTCAAGATGGTCGAGTGACCAGCACGACCCTCGATCAGCAGCCCTGCCCAGGGTGAGGGCCACACTCACGATTACGAGATTCAGGCGTGTATCCCTTCAGCCAGACACAAGATCAGCCAGCCCTCGTCAGCTCGTGCAATGGCGTGGGGTCAGTCTTGGCAGTATGGCAGAGGCAAAGGTCGCGCAGCATATGCAGCAGGGGATCGTGAGCGTGAGTCTGACAAACCACGTGGCAAAGGCGTCCACACGTGGCGCTGCCAGCACTGTGGGTGCAAGAAGACGCCCTGGGCGCAGTGGTATTGCAAGCATTGCAGCCAGCCATGGAATGGAGGAGCGGCTGATGAAGGAGCCATTCTCGACGTGGCAGACAACGACAGCCCGCCAGGGCTGGCACCGCGGGCGAAGGGCTTGCAGCCCCCGCCTGGTATCAAGAGCAATGAGTTGGAGTTGTCCAGCGAGGAGATCGACAATCTGGTCGCGCTGGCCAACAAGATTGGGGACCGTGCCATGGAGAACAAGTACACGACCCTCCGTGAGTACAAGAAACGGCTCGCCATGGAGCCCAAGGCAGTGCCGTTGCAGCTCCAGGCTCAGCAGGCACACCAGAAGGTTCTGCAGCTGGAGGCGAAGCTCAAGCAGGAGGTCAGCAAGTTCGAGCTCATGCAGGTGGCCCTCGAGGAGCAGACCCAGCTTGTGCAGGCCCTCAGCACCGAGCTGGACGACGCAGATAGCAAGTACAAGGAGCTGCTGGGCAACTTGCACACGGACGTGGTCGGCGCGCCGAGTGAGCAGCCACCCCGTGTGCTGCTGTCCAAGCTACTCGAGGGGGACCTTTCCTGCTTCGACCTCGGGGAGTGCGAGACGCTCTTCGGGCTGGTCGACCCGAAACTGTACGAGGTTACGGAAGATGACCAGAAGCAGGCAGCAGAAAGGCGTGAGAAGATGCAGAAAGGGATTGCCGAGTTGGCGCAAACCTTGTTCGGCTCGGCGAAGCAGTTCGCGGATAACCTCAACAGGGAGCACGCGGAGCACGTCAAGAGGCTGTCCACCAAGAAGCGGAAGACGGCCGAGGAGCCCGACGGGGAGCGGCCAGGCGGCCAGGGCTCGGGAGCCCAGGCTGCAGGCGGCGCCGAGGGCGGAGAGGCGGCAACCACGCGGGCTCCGCCTGGCGCCGCGGCTGGCGCTGGTCATGCTGCTGCAGGTGGAGATTCTGACGGCCACAAGGACGGAATGGTCGATCGCGACCGCTCTGGAGCCTTTTTGCCGCCCGAGCCAAGCAACGCGCGCCAGGCCGCACGAGCAGCGCTGGGACAGAGCGGCAAGGGAGCAGCAGCAGGAGGCAAGGGCTTTGCAGGCAGCGCTGGAGGCGCCGCCGCAAGCCCAACGGCCGCAGGGGAGGGACGGTTGGGCGGGTAGCTGGGTGGGGGCTGCGGGCGGGAGGGGCGCGTCTCTGGCAGGTAGCGTTGAGGCCTCGGCCACGCGGCAGGTGCGGGGGGGTTCTCGTTTTGGCACGCCGCCAGGGCTCTTCTTTCTCCCTCCGCCGCTGCTCGTGCCGCCACCGCCCCTCGGTCGTCCCCCCTTCTATTTTCCCCAGCAGGAGCCAGCTTGTCCTGCTTGGGAGCCGTCATTGCCTCAGCGTTTCAATTTGAGCAAGTCTCAGTCTCGGAAGCTTGAGCGCCAGCGAGCAAGTCCAGTTTCCAGGGCTGACCAGGGAGAGAGTTTTTTCTCGGTAGAATCATGCAACACGACCTGTTGGAAGTCGGCGAAGCAGTATCTTGAGGGTGAGTGCCAGTCTAGCGTAGCAGTACTGCAAGAGATCACTGTTGAACCGAGCGAGCTGCAGGAGCGTGAACAGACACTGCGAGGTCTAGGGTGGCATGCCAGTCTATCGCCGTCCGTAGTTACGGATGCAGGAGGGCTTTCGTCAGGGGTGGCGGTGGCCTGCAGGAAGCACATAGGTCTGGGGATGCCCCCGACAGCAGTTCGAGACCTTCCTGCACCGCATCGGCAATCGCTACGATGGATCAATACGTTCGTTCCAGGCGGATTCATACTAGGTTCGGTTTAGCTTCCCGACGCTGATCCGCTAGGACCCGAAGGGAGTCGAATTCTCAGTCGGCTGGGAGAACGCCTCCATAGTTGGAGGTTGCCGTTCATCCTAGGGGGGGACTGGAATGTTTCGCCTGAGGTGTTCAAGGGGATGGGGTGGGCTGGAAAACTCGGGGGCCAGGTCATCCATCCCACCACCTACACGTGTAAGTCGACAGCCAAGGTTTGGAGGACAATCGACTATTTTGTGATGTCGGCAGGCCTAGCGGCGAATGTTCACTCGTGCCATCTCAATAGGAAGGCGACCACCAAGCCGCATTGGTCTGTCATTGTGCAGTTTAAGGGCAAGCCGATGGAGCACCTCGTTCGGGTGCTCAAAAAGCCTGCCGCGTTCCCCAATGAGGTAGTCATTGGCCCGATGAAGAAGCCCCGCGACTACCGCCAGCTGCTGGCACAGGCGAGGCAGCGTGGTGGCCGAGAGGCTCTGGACAGCTGTTTTACTGAGTTTATTGGGTTTCTTGAGGCGGAGCTGGGAGAGTACCACGGGGTCTCGGATCAGAAGAAGTACGTTGGACGGTCCAGGGAGCCCGAGTTCAGGATGGTACCCGCCTTGAAGACCTCAGGAGGCAAGTATCCAGTAGGCTGCCCACGAAGCAGAGGATGGAGGAGAGTTGAGATTTGGTTCCAGGAGCTCGCGTACCTCAGGACTAGCGCTTCGGAGTGGGGGGAAAGGCTAGCACCATGGGGATCCTGGGGCAAATACGACGGGGCCCACACCAGCTTCGTGAGCAGCAGGATATGGGAAGGCTGGAGGCCTTCTCGAGAGCAGTTGATGAGCGCAGATGTTGAGCAGCTCCGACGCTGGGGCGAAGAGGCTGGCAAGGTTTCACTTTCGCTGGAGAGATCGTTCGCCTCTGAGCGGCCCAAGCAGTGGCGCGAGTGGGTCAAGCAAGCGGTGGCCAACGGAGGGGGCCAAGCCCACAAGTGCAGCCAGGTCCCCATAGGTTGGGTCCCTGAGGCCCCAGCTGGAGCTAAGAAGTCGGATGCCCCGAGAGTGCCCATGGGCCCGCAGGAGCAGGTGGACGACGTGTACGGTTACTGGCTAGGACATTGGGCCCCTCCAGAGGCTGCTAGGGGTCTTCCTGACCCCATCGAGTACCTCACGATCGAGATAGATAAGCAGGCGCAGGAGCAGGGTTGCAGGCTGGAAGATCTTGTGGGCCCCCCAAAGACCCCCAGTGAGATCAGAGCGGCAGCGAGGAGGTTTAAGCGTTTCACGGCGTGCGGGATCGACATGCTCAGGCCCAGGGACCTTGTCAAGGCCACAGATGGGATCCTCGAGGTGCTCGGTGAGCTCTGGGTCTGGATGGAGTGTCTTGGGACGTACCCCACCCTGATGCTGACCGCGGTCCTCGCGATGCTAGGTAAGCCCGAAGGAGGTTTTCGACCGATAGGCTTGCTCCCAACCCCCGTCAGAGTCTTCTCGAAGTTAGATCGACCTGAGATCCGTGCGTGGGAGGCCTCGGTCAAGCGGCCCTACAGGTACGGGATTTCGGGCAGAAGTTGCGAGAGAGCGGTGTGGGAGTAAAGCCTAGTGGTCGAGCAGCACACCAGTGCAGGAGGCTGCTCGGCATGCGGGCTTGTGGACTTGACAAAGGCATGCGAGAAGGTGAACCATTACCTTCTCGCTCGGGCGGCAGTCAAGCACAGATATAATCAGATTCGTCTTCGTTTGAAGCTGTCCTTGTATCGCGGCAAGCGGATCATCAGCATTCTAGGAGTGTGCGCGTTAGTGGCAGAAGTCGACCAGGGTATTATTGCAGGTTGCGGTGAAGCGACCAGTTTGCTCAGCTGCCTTTTGCTGGACCCCTTGGATTCGACTTGCGAGCACTTTGGCATCGTAGGCATATACAACGTCGTCGGCGATATCACATTGCAGTCGTCTGGTCACTCGTCACAGGTGGAAGTCAGGTTGCCGAGGGCGATCTTTTACTTGTGCACGCTGCTCGAGCGGCTACTGTTAGTGATTTCACAGTCCAAGGGCCTCGTGCTGAGCACCCACGCGAGCACGCGGCAGGTCATAGTCAGAAAGCTTCGGAAGTGGAACTTCGAGGGGGCGCTCTCGGGAAGGAATCTGGGATGTGACCAAACGATGGCTGCCAAGGGGACCCGTGGGTCCAAGGTGTTACAAGCCAGGCTGAGGCGCCTCAAGGGGCGCAGTGGAAGGACCCGCGGGCTCAGGAGCTCTAGGAAGGGAATGATGCGGGTGGCCCGTTCTGGGGGACTTGCTGCTACCACATATGGAGCGAGAGTGAACGGGGTGGCCACCACGAAGCTTCAGCAGATAAGGAGTGCGGTTGGCGCGGCTGTGTTTGGGACTCCCAACGGCAGGAGCAGGACTCTGGAGTTTCTTCTCAGCGAGGAGCCCAAGGGGGACCCAGCGTTCGACTCGAACCTTTTGCCGCTCCTCATGTGGGGCCAGGCGGTCAGGAACAAGTGGGTGGAGCCCAAGGCGATGCAGC